TAGAGACACAGCTCCGTGATCGAATTTAACGAACGGACATTAAAACTAACTTAAGATTATTAATGATAAAGCGATGAAAAAGTTTCTTATTAAGTATTTTAAGAATCAAGTCTTTTATTCGTAAATACGTTCGCCACTGTATTTATTTACTTTTATGATGATGAGGTTCGGCTCAAAGAAGGTTAATAATTTAGTGTGGGAAACGCTGCTTTCGCGAGGACCGCAAAGAAAAATGCTATTACTGAAGAAGAAAAACTTTTTTAATTATCGGAGGAAACGGCAATTATCACCTCAAAGTATTTTCCCGCAGATCAAAGTGGGTTTGATGTTTTTTGTCCAACCTTTCTCTTTAGTTTTCTCTAATAAACATTGAAATATATCAATTGAATTTATTTCCTAGGTGAGGAGCTTTCCATTTATGTCGATCCTCATTTAAAAGCTAAAACAGTGAGTTGAAATTTTTGTTTATAGTGTTTATAACATAAATTTCCTTAGATTAGAAAACACAAAGTAAAATTTAATTCATCTTATTTATTGAATTACGAATTCCTGAACTTTTTTTAAATAAACGTATGTAGATTAAATATTTGATTCCCTTTTATATTTTTAGGTTTTGCGCAATTGGTTTAAGTGAAATTAATTTATCCCGGAAAAAACATTTGATAAATATCTATTATTACTATAAGGTCAACAGAGACTTTTGAATTTTGCAAAATTTTGTTTAAAACAAAAATTGAGCTTTGAAGGAAAATTAAAAAAAAAAGATCCTAAAAATAACATTATGAAACCTAAAATAAAGAATTTTATAAATTATTATTAGACAAGCAATTTATCATCACCATTTAACAAGTAATTAACCCTTACAATTTAGTTTCAAGTTTGGTATTTTGGAATAAAATGCAATATTCATGTAATGTAAATAAGCATAATGTAAAAATTCGTGTCATGTAAATAAATAAAATGTAAAAATTCGTGCACATCATTTAAAAACTCACGAAAGAATCGAGTCCTGCGTGAGAAAACTATTTCGTCCATAGTTCGTAGAATTTTTTCCAAAAAATGTATTTATAATCAGCGAGTTTTTATTTATAACAATTTTAGAAATGAAATAAATAAAGAGAGAAAAATTCATTTTCATAATTTTAAAAAGAAAAAGATTTTTTTAAAAAAGTGACAGAAGGGGCCGTTCATTAATCATGTCACGACTCTCGGAAGGGTGTCGTGAAAGTGTGAGGAGGAGCAGGAAGTGTGACATTTTAGTTAAAATATTTAAAAACAGCATGTCTAATCGCTATCATTGTTATGCCCATCCATAACATACGTGTTATGTTTCTAAATTGTGTGTTTATATGATTGTATGTTAATTAAGCCTGACATGTGACAAAAAAAAAGGTAGCGGGGTGTGTGACAAAAGTGAGGAAGGGGACAAAAAGGGTCATTAATGTAAGGCTTCAAATACGTTTAAGAAATAGTGTGAAGTTCAATTTTCAATCTGGCGAAATTTTTCCACCAAGTTGAAAATCATCCAATTCACAACTCAAACATTTTTATGATCTTAAACACTGTAAGGTTAAAGAAACTTTTATAATATAATAAAATCAGGTTAGAAAGGTTTTTTTTCCTCCACCATACTGTGGCCGTTTTTTTTCCTTCTTTCTATGTGATTCGCAACTGGAGTAGAGAGAGCTGAAAAAGAACAACTTGACAATCACGTATAACAGTTATTATAATTTGCAATACTTATGAAAGGTTAGTAACACTAATAATTCGGTAAAACACATAACGCTAGATTCTTCAAAGAATGTTATTCTAAATATTTCGTTTTTTAGATTCTCGATATCACGATGAGTTGGATACATGTGTCATAATTATTACGTAAAATAATATTTTTAGAAACATTAAGTGTACAACTTTATAAGGGATGCCACAGGCGACTAAAAATGTAAAAAGTGTTGATTCATAAAAATCTATTAAAAGATATTAGCATATTTCTTCCAGTTCACTTTTGAAGTAAATTAGCTTTAAATATGAATAATTTTCATTGTATACTATGGTGGTGGGTACAAATAAAAAATGAATTAAACCACTTCTTACACTTTAAGTGGCATCCCTGCATTATAGAAATTATTCAAAAAGTTAGTTTGGGTAAAAGTATTCTTGGGAGATTTAATTATTCTTACTTAAACAAAAGCAAATTTTCATTTTAACGTACTGTATAGAATTACCGTTTAAAGTCAGTGGCGAATGAGCACATTTCGAGAACTTTAAATAATTTAATTTTAAATTGTTTGGAAAACGAGTTGGCAAATAAAAAAACTTTCGCAATAATAATCATTTTAATAATAGTTTTTCGTACCAAAATCTGTTTAACATAAAAATTTCTCTATTCATTTAAATACGCGAATTTCGTTTTCTTTTTTGATAATTTTTAAAACATTGCCTTTCTGAAAGATTAATTCATTCTAACAACATTCTCCGGTGGTTTTGATTTAGTTTTACTGACATTAGATTTGCTAATTTTAGGTGACGTCTGGTTCATGCGATAGCTGTCATATACTACGGGGCACGTATGTCATTTTTAAAAGTTTTACTCCTTTAAATCTTTCTGTTTTTCAACATTTTCCGTAGGAAAGGTACAAAGAAATCTTGTATTGACCCAAAAGAATTTATTTGGGGATATTATATTGAAATATTTCGATGCATGCATAAAAAATATGTGATAGCCAGTTTAAGATTAAATTTAATGTGTCATTTGCAGAGAGGGGGCAATTATGGAAAAATCGAGGTATTTTTGAGGTATAAATGAGGTATTTTTAAAGGTATAAAGGAGATTGTTATTTAAATACGTCGTTAGGTTGAAAAGGGTGCAAATAAATACCTTAAAATAAACCTTAATTATAACTTCAATATACCTCCAGAGGTATATTCAACTATTCCAGAGGTATTTATAACCTTAGGTTATTACTTATCAAAACCTGAAATATATCTTTTTACACTTGTGGAAGTATTTATTCAACAACCTAAGGTGCTTCATCTAACACTTCAGGTTATTATAAATCTATCTCAGGTGTAAATTTTAACAGTTGGAAAAGTAATTTCTTACTAACGTGAGATGTATTACGTTCTACCCCAGATAGTTATATTTCTACCTTAAGTATATATTTTTATGCTTGTAGAGGTATTTATTGATCTACCTAAGGTGTGCCATTTTACGCTTCCAGTTATTATAAATCAACCTCAAGTGTATTTTTTGACACTTGGGAAAGGTTATTTTTTATTAAAGTGAGGTGTTCCATGTTCTACCTTATTTCATAACCTCAAGTATAAATTTTTGTTATTTTTAGAAGTATAAATTTATCAACCTAAGATGCGACATTTTACACTTCAGGCTTAAATTCAGCAAACGATTTACCATTATAGCTTCATTTGTGTTGTTGACAATAAATTGAAAAGTTCTTCTCTTTCAAAAAATGGAATTGAATCGTGAACATTTTCGTGCCATTATTTTTCATAACTTTCGACGTGGATTGTCAAGACAAGAGTGCTTCGATGAACTTAATTCTTTATTCAGCGATAAAGCGCCATCCTACAGCACTGTAAAAAATTGGTATAACGAATTTAATCGTGGTCGATGTTCGATCCAGGACGAATCCCGTGCAGGTCGTCCAAAATCCGTTGTTGTGCCAGAAAAGATCGATGCTGTGCGTGAACTGATAAAGCAAGATCGTCATGTGACATACCGTGAGATAGAGGCGTCTTTGGACATTAGTATGACTAGCATCAATAAAATATTGCATGAACATTTGAGCGTAAAAAAAATTTGTTCGCGTTGGATCCCGCATAATCTGACAAACGCTCAAAAAAAGGCTCGTGTCGATTGGTGCAAGGAAATGTTGGAAAAATACGTTCAAGGTACATCAAAGGCTGTGTATAACATCTACACAGGTGACGAATCATGGATCTATGCATATGAGCCGGAAACAAAACAGCAATCAACTGTATGGGTCTTCCAAGACGAGGCAAAACCAACAAAAGTTGTTCGAGGAAGAAGCACATCGAAACAAATGATTGCCTGTTTCTTCGGCATTAACGGTCATGTGGCAACAGTGGCGTTAGAGCAACGCAGGACGGTCAATTCTGAATGGTACACGACCATTTGTTTGCCAGAAGTCATCGGAGAAATTCGAAAAAAGCAGAAGAACAGGCGAATCATTCTTCATCATGACAATGCGAGCTCTCACACATCGACTCAAACAAAGGCATTTCTGACGGAGCGAAAGATCGAACTGATGGGTCATCCGCCGTACAGCCCTGATTTGGCACCCAATGACTTCTTCTTATTCCCACACATCAAAAATAAATTACGTGGACAACGATTTTCGACCCCCGAAGAAGCGGTTGATGCATTCAAAACGCATGTTCTGGAGTTACCTCAATCGGACTGGAAAAAGTGCTTTGAAAATTGGTTCAAACGCATGCGAAAGTGTATTGATCATCATGGAGAATATTTTGAAAAACAATAAAACCATTTTCGATCCTACATATTTGCTTTTTCATTATTAGGCCAGACCCTCGTATAGCTCAACCTAAAGCTGTTTCTTTCATTATTTACGAAGGTAATAAATCTCAAACTTGAAATGTTAAACAGACCACCTAGTTTATTAATTTTTAACCTCATTATTATGTATAGAGATTATATATTATATAAAGAATAATGCATATCTTTAAATTTTTTCATTAGTAAAGATCTTCATTTATCAACCTTTAAGATTACACCTTGGCAGTAATTGCTTCTTTCCTTAAACTATAAAAGAAAGTTTCAAATACATAATTCTCCTGTAATTTTAATAGATTCAATTAATTCATCTTGAAATGACACTCATCCGAATTCTACAGTTAAAAAAAAATTATTTGTGGGAACTCACTTTTTTATAAGATAAATGTCTAAGGTGCTTGAATTTTTAAAGCTAGAAAACTGCAAATTTAAATAATTAGTCAGCTGAAATTCAAAATACTTTTACTTAAAACTGAAATTTTCTTTTCTTTACATAATTATTTTAAATATTTATTCCGTCTACCTGTTGAAACTTGGAAGTATTGGAACCTAAAAGAAAAAAAAAAGGAATTAGTACGAAAGTGATATTTACAATAATAGCGACAGGTTTTAAAATATTAAATATTAGAAATTGTTTTTTTCATTATTTAAATTAGCTGGATAGAATTAATTTTCTTTTTCAGATAAATGGCATTCCACTTCTGTCATTTCTATTCAATCCTCGTAGCTAAAAGCGTTTAAAAGTATGACAGTCACAAAATAAAATGCACTGAAGAAAGTACTAACCCTAACGCTGTCTTATAGGTCTCGCCTAAAAGTTTCTCCCCTACCTGAATGATTGATGGAGTGGGCGGAGGAACTCTATTGAAAAACCGCACCTGTTTCCGTAAATCATTGCTCGCCAAATCTTTATGATGCCAACTACGATAAAGTGTCTCAAATGGAAAACTGATTTACCTCGGTTTTGAGAGACATAGTGGATTAATTCTTCCTTTAGTGGGAGAGTGAAACTTACGGAATTTTTCGGATGCACAAGAAATTTTTAGGGATTTAAGTTAAAACATTACACGACATTTCCGAGTGTTTTCGTCATCGGTACCGTTCAAATGACGAGGGGGGGGGGGATACCGATGCTAACTTTTTGAAGATTATCTATACATATCACTTCTTCGTATATTTTTTATACTTAAATTTAAAGGGCATACTGCATTGCATTATCCGATTGAAAATGCTGGGAATAATCAAACTGTAGCATTTGCTTTTTCATTTTTTTTTGAAACCTCGAAATGATAGTAAAAAAAAGAATCAGTATACCACAATGATAGTTATTTATGGAATTCAAGTGAAGATGCTGCCTTTCATAAAAGGTGCTTTATGAGTAGTAACATGATATTACCATAAAAGATGCTTTATGATTAAAATTTTCTTACTGTGGTAGAGTTTCTTATGGTTTCTTACTTACAGAGGTAGCATATTAATAATCTTTTGACGTAGATTGGAGACTGGTGTCCGTTTTAAAAAAAAAAATTCTGATGCTCTAGTTATAAGCAAAAATATATTTAGGTAATTTTTAATTATAAAAAACACTCGAATAGTTACTAAAAATTCGTTCAGATTATCAGGAAATAACTTGCGTATTTTTTTTAAAAGCGTTATTCGAAAGTTTTTTTTTTTTATAAAATTGTATCAATAATTCTTACTAAAAAGTATATCAATAATTAATTTTGTAATTTCAATAATGAATAATTGTTTTTCTTAATTTAAATCTAAATAAGTGCACATTTGAAGATTGTTTGGAAGTGTCATGTTTAGAAAATTTTAACGCAGGAAAAACAATGGTGTTTCATGTTGTATTTCGTAATCAAAAATTATTAAAATGCTAAATATAATATTTTCACTTATTTTGACTTAAATTATTCTAAAATAATGAGAAAAATATAAAAATTCCAGTTAAAAAATTAACGATTTAAAATATAGTAGTGCAAAATAAGTGAAAGAGTAAGAGTGAATCAGTACAGGAATAAAAAGTATTAAAAATTAACAAAACAAAAAAAATTTNCAATAAAATCTGGCGAGCAGCTATTTAAACGATCAAACACTTCGTTTGTTTATTTGGGGCTTGAAGTTAGGCTCGCAGAAAATGCCGTTCATGGGTTAAATTTAGTAGGAATAACACAACCTGTGACGTAGGCTATAGTATACCCAATTATGTTTTTACGGTGCAGTTACTATATTATGTTAAATTCTTATATGTGTTGCATTTTCAAACCTCATTCATACAGACGATAAATTTTATGGTTTAAAATTATTAATCATAATAATAACATTATGATCAATTTCATTAAATTTAATTGACGTAATAATTGCACTCAATGAAAAATTAGATTTGAACTACAATTAAAAAAATTCTTAAAGATTTCAAATATTTATTTAATGCTATTGTTAATAACGACTTCCAATGTTTAGAAAAAAATGTTCTGATAATTGAAATTTTATTTAATTTTATAGTTTATTTAAAATTGCAGAAACACTACATAAATCTATTTCAATTCACTAGACAAGATGAAATGGCGGTAAGTGAAGGTACAGCTCTTTCGCTCCTTTCATTCTTAGAAAATTTTCCCTCTGATAGCTAAGACTTTTCCCTCTCATGACTAAGACTTCCATCTCACTATTGCGGAGAGGAAAAATCCTTCTTCATACCAGGAAAAATAGTAACCTTGTTATAAGAAAGGCGCCAAGAGTAAATAGCTATATCATGCAGAGTGAGTATTAAGCCAAGTCCGTTCTAGGGGGGCATTTTAGCGCACCTGAAAGCAATTATCCTTATCTTGACAGCTGAAGTTTGGGCGAGGTCTACAATGAACCATCATTAACAACCTTTACTTTCAAAGATATAATTCCAATCCTATTTGGAAATTTTAGCACTTTTTATTTTCCCATAATTGAACCTACATCGTTCATTATGGCACTTGTAAGTTTGATGATTAGATTTTCTTTTTTTTTTCTTACAAATCTTTAAACTCAATTAGACTAGTCTATATTTTAAAACTTTTTGTCCGACTTTATGAAACTAATAGTTTTTTAATAAATTTTTAAGTTTAAGTTTGAAAAGGACTTTCGTTATTGTCAATTACAGCAGAATTTCTTAAAAAATAGTAATTTTAATATTTTAATCAATGTAATCAGGAATCAACAAACGTTTAATAACATAAAATTTTAAAGTTATGTACCATTTGTATGCATTTTTTACACTCAATCGAATTAAACTAACCACAAGCTGATAGGAGCATTTGTTTTAAAGTTGTGAGCAATTTTATGAGAGGAAAATGTTTAAGAGAGAACGATTTGAAATAATGCTTTTAAAAGAGGCTGAGTAAAATATTTCCTATGTAACTTATAATACCGAGCATAATAAAACTAATTGTTAGTTGTTACAATCATTTGTTTAAATATAAAAACCTTTCTCATATGATGAAATTAAAAAAAAAGCATTTAACTCTTAAACAATAAGTGCTTTTATTTGTAATTGACTTTTATTCACTTCATCACTAAAATTACGTAGGAAACAATACTGACTTATTTCTAAAAAAATTAAGATTTCCGAATTTCATTCAATTCACCATTAAAATTACATTAGAAACAATACTGACTTATTTCTAAAAAAATTAAGATTTCCGAATTTCATTCAATTCATCATTAAAATTACATTAGAAACAATACTGACTTATTTCTAAAAAAAATTAAGATTTCCGAATTTTATTAAATTCATCATTAAAATTACATAAGAAACAATACTGACTTATTTCTAAAAAAATTAGGATTTCCGAATTTTATTAAATTCATCATTAAAATTACATAAGAAACAATACTGGCTTATTTCTAAAAAAATTAAGATTTCCGAATTTTATTAAATTCATCATTAAAATTACGTAAGAAACAATACTGACTTATTTCTAAAAAAATTAAGATTTCCGATATTCGCTCATTTTTTAAGTAGTAAATCATAAGCAGCTGCATAAAAATTCTCATAACCCTGAAACCAATTGTCATAGAAACTTGAAATCGGGTATTAAATAATTTTGCTTAATGTTCCAATAAGTAATGACAATCTGCTTAGCAAATAATTAACATAGGTAAATTGCGAAAAAATAACATGTTGTGAAAAATAACAGTTCTGTAATCAAATATAAAAAGTGAACTAGTATTGTTACTAGTTTTCAGTTATCAAATATCAGGAAAAGTATTGTTATCAACAATTACATTAATTCAGAAGTTTATTATGTGAGATTACTTTTTCTTTTTGGTATAAATTCAGAACTCTTTCCCAGGGGAAGGCTGAGAAGTAGCTAGCTAGCCACTTCTTCCTCGTTGCTGCACATGTGCTATTTACAGTCTAGGTCATCTCAGCAATATCAGGGAACTACTTAAGGATAAGCTCTGTAAATATATATATTATGAACATAAGAGAAATTATGAAGGTTTTATTCAATTGATCAACTTACATACTGCTACGTTAAAACACATACATTTAAGCAAAAAAATAAAAAAATGTTATATTTGAATAAATAGAAAACAATAAAATATACTGTTCGTAACCTGCTTTAACGATTCACCAGTAGCGTTACCCTAAACAGCGACAAGGAATATTCAGATTTTTCTCTTTTATTGCTAAACCTACAACAATAGCCTCTAAGAATATCAATAGCCTCTAAGAATTATTCAAGATCAGGACGCGTCTTTAAAGCAAAAATAATAAAATTTAAGTTTGAAAATTGAAGCATATTTGATTAAAAGTGATTAAACTAAATTAATAAATGTCAAACACACTTAACAAATTTCGCATAAACTTTCGATTGTCAACACACACGCCATTCGCCGGCTCGCACGGAACTCTGGGAAGTGAGCAAGTTATTATGAAGTGTATTTTAAACAACCACCTAATAAGCTTGTGTATAAATAAAATGTAACTTCATACACCTCAATAAATACTAGACTCTCTTTAGTTGAAATAAGGTAACTTTTTAATACCTCAAAAATACCTGATTTGCTATAAGTATCAGAAAAAAAAACCTGTATACCTTAAAAATCACTTCCTCAATCTAGTTGATATGTAGTCAACTTTAAACAACTTTAAGCTTAGATATAAATAAAATGTGTGTGTGACTTTATACACCTCAATAAATACCTGACTCTCCTTAATTTAAATAAGGTGAAATCTCATGTCTCATAAATACCTTTTTTGTTACATGAGTCAGAAAAACTGTATACCTTGAAAATCACCTCATCAGCCTGGTTGATTTGAAGTGAATTTTAAACAACCTCTAAATGAGCTGAAGTGTATGTAAAACAACCTGGTACACCGTACAACCTTTATGAGGTAAATTTTAATGGTTCTTTTCTCAGCAATCTCAAATATACCTCCGATACCTCAAAACAACCTTAAATTTTCGTAAGGGGACATTCTATTGACTATGAAGGACTCTTGAAATAAATTCATTGCTATTGCTTTGATTACTAAGATAGTTGACACTATTACTAAGATAGTTCTTAACAAGAAAATGGAGGAAAATCTTTCACGAAGAATTAAATGTGAATAATTGTAGCAATGAAGTATTAAGTTCTTAAAAATTAAATATTTTTAATACATAATAAAAAGAATTGAGAATATTTTGATGAAAATTATCCATTTTACGATACAGAATTATTCCCATTTAATTTCTACGTAAAAATAAATTTATATTACATAGATTTAAATTTTTCGTTCCAATTTTTATTAACATTCCCTCCTCCCGCTCACTATACCAGGGCTCGAAAATACTCAGAAATTTTACCCGTCCCCGAGGACGGCTTGTCCAACAATGTACCCGTCCTCCTTTGAAACTAACCCGTAGCTTCTTCATAAATAAAAATATAATTTTCTCTTATTTATTACAAACATCTATATATATATATTTCTCTTACACGGCGGCAAAAAAAGTCTCATTACAACTCTCCGAATGGCAACGCTAGAAAATCAACCAATGATTGCCGCTAAAAATGTCACATGCTAAATCTCGCTGAGGTGGCTCAACATATAGCGCTTTTGAAAACGGAAACTGAAATAACCTGAGAGAGCATCAGCTGCGGCAATCTCATACTATTAAGCTAGGCAGAAGTGAGTAGTCTTTGTCGCTAGATCTCTATATTATTATTTTGTCGGAAGCGCTTTTCTTTCCACGAATTTATATGTTACGAATTTATTTGACGATTTTTGATTTATATCACGAATTTATTTGTTTTATCATTTTTATTAGTTATTCATTGAAAAATGGGTCTCAGTCGTGCTGTTACGCTCTAAGATTTTATACTATAGCACATTTCTAATAGGTTTAACGAATTACAGGTCATTTATTTGAATTCAAATTTATTTTAATGACTTGGTATTTACTAAAAAGATGTAATTTAAAAAAAAAAAAAAGTTATATGGATTTGAATGATTGTTTTGAATTCTTAGAATTTTGTGCATTGGCAATGTACCAAGCTTGAGCGAAGCGAGCTTGGTTTGCGAAGTAAACCATATAAGATTGCGTAGCAATTTTCGGGGGATGGCGAGCGTTAGCGAGCAGGGGGCGCAGCCCACTAGTTTATATAAATTGCACGATGAATTAGTAGTTACTAGGATTACATTATACAGTAATAAAAGAAATACTAGGTTACTAATAGTAACTTCGTATTTCTTTTATGAAATAATTTCTTTCTTTTATGAAGTAATTTAAATGACAAAAGTCAAGTTATCTGAAATGTCAATTTATCCGAGGGTATTGCGTTTTTTAAATCAATCAAATATGACGTTTGCCAGTTCAGCAATCAAGCCAATGATTTACAGAGGTTTCTGCACAGAAATCTGAAAGGGGTTTTCCATTTAGGTAGATGTTTATAATTGCGTTTAACGCTTCTTGCTTAAGACCAGTACGTAATGTGTTTTTTTGTAAGTTCACTGCTGAAAAGCTCCTTTCAACCGCTGCAGTACTCCCAAACAATGTATCCAGAAAATGTATCACGAAGATTAACGGGAAAATGGCCGTCCGCGCGGACGTCGGATTCGAGAAATTCGTTGTCCGCGGGGAATTTTTGATTGCCGAGAACGGGCGGTTTTTCGAGCCCTGCACTATACTCTTTACAAAGAATTTGTCGCAGGCATCCTCTTCAGGTAATATTCTTAGAGGCTATTTCACCCTTTAATTTTAAAAAAGTGAGTTTTGGAAAATTTGAGTCAGGAAAGTTATTTTATTTTACGATATTTTTTATTGTATTCATTTTTAATGACAGAGATATTTTATATGCATTCATTGAAATTGTGTTCAAAAAGTTTTTGACTGTTACGCTATTTATTTTTAACATAATTAGCCGTTTCAGCTATTTTTGTTTTATTTTTATTAAAAGAGAGAGTAATAAACGTTGCTATCTTATTCAAAATTAAAGGTTCAAAACCAGAACTGGCGTTTTTTTATTGTAAAATAATTCTATGACAGTATCAATTTACGCTACAGTTAATGATAAACTTATTGAATTGCTGTTTAACATTCAACATAAAGTAAATGAATTAATTTTTCTTATAACTATTCTAATAATAAATTTTTTGTGAAGTAGCCGAAATTAAAATATTTATTTAAAATTGCAAAAAATGCTTAAAATGAAATCACACTTTTGCTCTGAGGGTGAAAAACATTTGATGAGTTTTATTGTAACCGAAATTTAAGTAAGAAATTAAAAATCAAAATTGTACAACCGAACAAAATGATTAAGTTTAAATCTGCCGAACCAAATCTGTGTTGGGTACTTTAACAGAAAGAGAGTAGTTTTTATTCATAAAAATGTTTCTTATTAAAATAATCGCAAGAGGGATTGGCGAGAAAGCATTGAATTTAATATGAAATTTTTGCGGTAGTCTCGTTTATTTTCCTTCGAATTAAATTTTTGATATTCTCTTTTGTTTGCGTGTTAAATGACTTTAAAAAGTCAAAAAACTCTTCAAATTATGAATTAAATCGTTTTCTGTTAGGAAATAAAATAAACATTTCATTTGCATTTTTCTTATATTAACTGCAATTCTAGTTCATTTTTTCTAAAAACAATCCAACAAAAAGAAAAAAAAATTAGATAACTATTTGATTTGTTAAATGAAATTTTCGACTTACGAAAGAAAATGATTACCAGAGTAAAGTTAAAGAAGAAAAGCGTTTTTGCATACACAGCCTGACTAATAGTTAATAGGGTCAACAATATCATCTTATAAAGCAAATTCGCTGCAACCTTAATTTGATATTATATTATCGTCCCTATCTATCTTTGATGATTTCGATGACGAGATACTACGGTTTAAGGAGGACATTCAGCAAAAGAAAAATCTTTAAAAAAATCCATTATTTGGTTTTTAAGATATTAAAAAAAATCACAAGTTATAAATAAGTAAAGTGCAACAAACCGTGTCGGAGTTTTCCTTATCGAGTTATAAGATTATGAAAGGTCCATACATCAATATTTAGTTCTCGTAGATAAAGTTGCTTTTCTCGTAATGGAATCTTCCAATGTTCTCACAACTTCAAAAAGTTCGTCGCGCACCAATTTTTGTTTTATTGCCATAAATTTTTTTTCATGTACTCTTCTATGCGCCTTGTTCAATTTTAAATGCATTTGATTAATTTAATATTTTAATGGTAAATACATAATTGAAGCATTTTTATCGAAGAAATTTTTAGTGAAAGAGTAAAAATTTAATGCTTAGGTACGTTATATTTTTATAGGGTTACCGAAACAATTTAAATTTATTTAAATACCTATAAACAACGTTTTTAGGTAAGAATTTTAATAAAATAAATAAAATTCGTTCACTAGGAACTTTTCAATTATCAACAATTGAAAACCGCCCTTTTAGCTAATAACTTTAAAGTCAATAAACATTATACACAGGTTTCTATTAATGCTGCCAATATTCTGTTAGAATTTGAAAACATTCGAAAAAAATTGCACTTTTTTATTTTCAACGCCCAGTGTCTACATAACTAAAACTGAATCATGTCATGGTTTTAAAAAATTTGCACTATATATTGTTTCAACGATGAACCAACTTTTCTGTAAGGTTCGAATGTGTTCCTTCGAAAGTTTTAATGAATAATAATGAAAGTGAAATAATTTGAACACCTCAATATTTTAATGCGGTTTCGACCACCACCCTGTATCCTTTTCAGATAAAATGCAATTGTCTTAACTGTTGTCGAAAGGCGATCATTTTAAAGGATAAAGAGACATATTTAAAAAAAGCGAGGAGAAAATCCACAAAAATTTACTACCATTTTTAAAAATTTTACAATAATGGTAGTAATTCTCATAACAAATCAATACCTCTGGATGGGCCGGGATAGCCTGGTTGGTAGGGCACTGGACCCGTGTCCAGGAGTTCGTGGGTTCGATCCTTGCCGGCCGAAGACTCCCCGTGTAGCAAAGGGTGACTGATGCTCGTTAAATCTGTCGAGTCACGAAATCCTCCATGTTCCCATAACAAATCATACCTCTGGGGGTTCTGATCCAGGAGTTTCCTTGTCTTCTGGATTGGGTTCAAAATGACAAGGCTACGGAGTTAAATCGTAAACCCAAAAAATTGGGTCGGCTGTTCAAGCACGGTTATAAAAAATAATCCGAGGAAGGAAGTTCTCCTCCTAAAATAGCTCAGTAGTAGACGGATCCATCAAAAGAGTCCTCCACGAAGGGACATTTGTCCCAATACTTGATCATGGAGTTCCCTCGTCTTCTGGATTGGGTTCAAAATGACAAGTCTACGGTGTTGAACATTGGTAGTCGTAAACTCAGTATTGGGTCGGCTGTTCAACAACTGTTATAAAATAAAATAATCCGAGATCTTTATGTGACGTCCACGCGGAAAACTAATAGTAGGGATGTTTTGCATATTAGGTATGTAACATTAAAAAACTAATTAAAAGTACGAAATCAAGCAATATATAATTAATCTTAAACTAATTATAAAAGTAGTAATAATTAATATTAAAAAAGTAATTATAATTAATATTAAGAAAGTAATTAAGTTAGAAAATTAATATCAGCAGAAATCCTCCAACACGATTATTGCAGATTATCTCAGATTTAAAAACCAAATTATCACAGCATCTGAAGATCGGTTTAAAAAAAACAAGCCTAAAATATTATTGAGAAGACTAATTTCTTAACTTACTCAATTTACTGAATGTTTCAGGTCCATAACAACATCTTGAAATACATTAGTAAGAGAAAAGAAAGAACTTTCAATTCCAAATAATCACCTTTAATTTACCGGAATTTGAAAAATAAAAAGACATTCTTTATTTTAATGGGTTTCTTCGGAAAAATTAATACCCAAAATATTTTTTGACAAACAGCTGTATCATTATTAATAAAAAACAAAACCTTTCGGGGTCACTGAATGCGTTAACTGATTTAGTCCTTCGCATATTCTTGAAAAAATAATAGCTCTTTTATAGTTTCTGATTTATTTAAAGATGTCTCTTAATGGGAGAAATAGAAAACTTTGATTGCAAAAATTATTTTAATTATATTAAACGAAGCAATAAATGTTTTTTTTTAAATCTCTATTTTACAGGTCATGTGATCGATACAAAAGCTGGAATGCTGCAGCTATGCCAGACTGGTATGTGCAGAAATATTAAAATCCCGTATAAAGTCTTATGAAAAGTTACCTTACCTTAATAGCTAATCTTGTATAGATTACCAGATAAGCAATAAATTATAACAAAGCAAACTACTTCCAGACAAATCATTGTCTAATAGACGAATTTGTTTGCTTTTATAAAAAAGCTTTCATAAAAGTTATTATAATTTACACAGTGTCTTATTGTAAATTTCTTTTGTTAAAAAAATTTACATTTATCAAACATTTCGAGGCACATTTAGAAAATGTTTCGATAACGGTGATGTGTTTGGATCCCTATCTCTCGAAGAGCTTAAAAAGTATCTGTGGATAATTTTATGAAGAAAAAAAAATGTGCACGTTTAAAAAAAACTATAAATCAATATTGATTTTTCTTTTAAAAATATGCATGTATTTGAAATGTAAATCATCACTATTTCTTTTGTATTTCTAAATTCTCCCATTTCAAGAACAGAGGCTAAACCAAAGAATCTCCCCACCATATTGATCTTACTTTATACTGCAGTGCGAACAGTCAAAGGACGGAACTAAATTTCAGCAATGTCGATATAACTTATTATAATTTATGTTTTTTTACTCAAACATAATATGTTTTAAAGTTAAAGACACTCACAACTGTCCCATTCAATTTTAAAGGTAAATATTTAATTAACCTTTATTGTTTAATAAATATATGTGGTGTTTTGGAGAGGAACGACAGTTTTTTTCGATGATAGAAACATTTAATAACAAAATGAATTATTTACACATGTGATGATATTTGAAATTTTTAGAAATATTAAGTGGAAAAGTGTGGGCCGTCTGCCCCGATGATTTGAACAAGAAAATGGGCCGTCAGCCCCTGTTATTAACACATAAGCCCCATCTGGGCTATGCAGTACAAAAGATATGGGCCTGTGCCCTGTTATCACAACCATAAGTCCCGTCTGGGCTATTGCAGTTGATTGTTCAGCAACAAAACGAAGAGTGAGTCTCTGGGTTAAAAAAAAAAAGGAGAGGCGGTGGTGCGGGGAAGTTATGTATGACGCTAGAATCATGGCGGCAGAAGAAGGGATGAGAGGGAGTTCTTTTCCTCATCCTGCATATAGTATTACACTAGAATTTCTTTTTCATTTTAAGATACCTTGTAAAGTTCTGTACTGTAAATGCTTATACCACAGTGAAATAGAAAAAAAAACAAGAAAATTAAAACTTTTTTCTTCCCTTACTTTTAATTTTTATATCACTACATTTCCCCCGGTAAAGTGGATTTATTTAATAAATTATTTGTTTCCTTTTAATTATAATTCGTAATATATTCTGCTTCAGTTCACTAATTAAAAAAAAAATTTTTAGAACTTTTTTTTATTTATTATTCCTTGGCAGAATGGGTGTTGTTTTGGATTTGATGACGTGTACACCTTATTTGGACTTCATCACACTTTTCAACTGTGTTCAAGATTAATAGTAAACAATGCAAATGTGTCGTCATTGCATGCGTTGCTATGGCGACCGTTGCTGTTTGTAGTTTTTTTAGAATTCATTTTTAATTTTGTAATGAATTAGTTGGTGGGTTTATTTTTGAGATATGGGACCAGAGAGATCCCATAAATACTTCTTGAGTTGTGAATAAAAGAGAATTTCCTCATTTGAACGATATTTTTTTGTTTTAATTAAGAATCAGAAATTCTGACCTACAGTTCAAACTGGATCATTTTCAATTCTAATTCAGGTAAATATCCCGATATACCAATGGGTAACCTGTGATCGCCTTTCCGCGATCACAATTTAAAAAAAAAAAATTGATTTAGAAAATTAAATAAATTTTAATGATGAACTGTCTCTTTTAGATCTAAATAACTGCAAATTACTTTTTTTAAAATTTCAATTAGTTCCTATTTCTTGCTTGATTAAAGTTATAAACAAATATTTCTTTACAGTGTTCATTTATTATTTTTTTTTTCTCACTATGAAACTACTCTAATTTCTATCGAAATGCGCATATTTTGTTTATAAATTATTTATTTAAATGAATTAGGTAAATGTTGATTATATACGTAATTTAACCAGCACATAGAAGAGGAACAAAAGAATTTCTTCATATCATGTGTTTGTGTAAAACCAAGTAACATTTTATCTATTTCATTAGATAAGATAAGAAGCAAATAGTTCCTCCAACCCAAGTACTCTCATGATTTTCCCAAAAGAATTTTTTCCTCTTAAAATTTAAAGCAATGATAAAATTAATGTTTTCATGTTTCATTCTGGATTTAAAATAATTTTAATAACCATTAGACATACATATTGAAAATTTAACAACAGTTTAATGCTGCTTTTGAAAGCTGATGAAATTGAAAAAAAAAATCTGCTTTTAGCTATCATCGTGGATTCACTTATATTAAAAACCACGTACGTGTGCAAATGTTGGAATGAAAGCATTTCTCAATAACAACGAATTTAAACACATGAGAATGATTGATGTGTACTCGTTAAAGACTTTTCAAAAAGTTTCTTTTGGTTTAATAGTACACTAATATGCTCCCCTATATATACGCGCTTGTGTGTAACATAAAAAGCTTCAATTAAACTTTTTATGTTATTTCTAAACCGAAACGCTTTCTCACACTTTTAAATTCACATCCTCTCCTTTATTTTTGGCTCAAGTTTGCATTAATTAAAAGTAAGACATTTTCCCTTTTGCTCGAGCGACCTATTTAATAAACCAATTACATACAATGTTAAAAAGATGCACATTAAGATTGCGAAATAAATATTTTAGTCATACAATCGCCAAACAGCAACCTTATTCAGGATTGTTCCCAAAAATAGTATAGCCGGATACCACGTGATGAAGGCGGAGGCAAGTGCCAACTCCTGGTGAACGAACTACAAAAAGTTGATTCTATAATGGGTAAAATCTATTCCAATCAATAAATATATTTAGATCAGAAAGAAGGGCATTTCAAGACGGGTGGGAAAAGGGCCGCTAACGGCCTTAGGTGCCTCGATAAATTTTAATGATGATGATGAAAAGAGGGGAAAGTGGCTGACATGTTACAATAACCGAAAATAGTAAATCCTCCATCTAAATAAATCAAGACAGTATACATAAAATAACTTTATTAAAATTTGTACAGAACACCTTTTATAAGCTCTTTTGAGGTACTTGACCAAGGTGACGTCTCAGACATTCTGTCTCTGTTTAAAAAATATGAGCAACTTCTAATGGTCAGAAAAGAAAATGATGATCAAGATAATAATAAAAAGCAAATAAATAAAATTATCAAAAAATAAACTCTAAGGAATGATTAATTTCGATCAAAATTGTGCGGCAAATGATAAAATTCTTCTAAGTAAAATTGAATGTATATTATAGATCAATCATTTCAACTTGTAAGTATGATGTTAAGCTTTTAGGAAGATTTAGCGATGTTATACCGAAGGGCAGATTCCAAGATTTTTGTAGGTGACTCTTAATGGCACACTTGGTGAGATGCTTCAACGATCGAGGTTGTAAAGTTGTGACGTTCTCTTTGAAAAACAAAAGGGCATAAAAATCACAAAGTTCCATAAAGTTTTTTTCAGTCGAGGGATAGAAACTACTAGTGGGAGGTTGTCGAAGGTGTTGGTTAATTTCAGTTTTCAACTCTTGTAAAGTAACAATAGGAGTGGGTAGAACACTCCAGAGGAGTACAATGCATTTTGACATGGAGGTAAATTTTGTCCGTGATCGGCATCTCGCCACATTTACTAGAAATAATAACACTTCAGTAACTGTTTTTCTTCGTCTGGATGATTCTTCAGCAAGAGGTACTCTCAGCCATTCGTAGACATAATCCCGCCTAAAACAAGGTGTAAATGGGTTAGATGATATAAACACATAAAGCGTTTTTCAATCTAATTTAAAAATCTGTTTGGATCGAATACAAAACAAGGGTGCATTACTTTTGAGACAGTGATAGACGTTTATTACGAAAAGTGACGTGAACTATTTTCACCTTTTCAGTCTATTTACAAGAATTTTTAATTTCTTTCTATTGTTTCTTTTTAATTATCTATCTGTTAGGTTTTACTTTTACGTTTTTTTATTTATTTGTATGGCAATTCGTCTAAACTTCCAATAGTAACAAACAAAACATCAGAAAAAAAAAGATAAATAAAAGACTGTCATTTTTATGCACAAATGTAAAAATTATAAAATTTAAAAAGAGAAAATAGTACTTTTTTCTCATCAAGACATAAAATATATGTATTGAAAACAACTACATTTTCGTCCTTTTTGAAATTTGCAAGTCGAAAAAAAGAAAGAAAGAAAATAAATAAATAAATAGGCAGTTTAAAAATCGTGAAATCTAAGCTGTACAATAAAGAAGGATTGATGATAAAACCACAAGTATTAACGACGAAATCACATGAATTGGACGCAATAAAAAGGGGTAAATAAACCGTAAGTTTTGTGATTCATGTTTTGTAATAAATAATATCGTATAAAAATATCAAGATTTAAAAAAAAATATATTAAAAATACAGTCAATCAGTAGAAATAACTGTCGAAAATTTTTCTTAAAAAATTATAGAATTATCGCATCAAATAGTGAATAATCAGGTGCGCGATTTGAATTTCGCGTATCATAATATCGGGGATTTTAAAAATCATGTAAAAACCAACATTAACTGGAAAAGAAACGAAAAAAAAAACGATCGAACTATGCATGGATTTAGCGCAAAACAAACGGGTCGAAAAGTAATCACTCATTTATGCGTTTCGAATTTCTCGTTTCTTAATAATATCGCGATTTAAGAAAACCACGTGCAGTCATTGTGAAAAAGTCAATCAAAAAAAACAGNAAAAAAAAAAAAAAAAAAAAAAAAAAAAAAAAAAAAAAAAAAAAAAAAAAAAAAAAGGTATCGTCACGTCAAAAGTGACTAATAAATGCACGAATTGAATGTGTCAGGGCTCGAAATTAACGGTGGTCTGTGACCACTAAAATCGGAGTCGGACCAGCATAAAATAATAAACAGTAGTCCGCCGCAGCCGATCTCCGTTAATCTATTCTCGCGGCCGATCTATTCTCGATCTTACGAAACTTAAACGATCTTACTTAAAACTATTTCAGAGCTTATTCAAAAAAAATTTTTTGAAATTTTTTATACAAAATTAATATTAATCAATAAAATGCGACTTAAATCAAAAATTTATGATTTTTTTAAAAAAAAAATCATGATTTTTTCAATCAAAAATTTAAATTTTTTTTTATTATTTGCAGCTAATAGGAACGCATAGACGGACCAGTAAAGTTTTGTGCGGACTAGTAAAATGTTTTAGTTACTGGTCCTATGGACCAGTAATTTTTTTTAAAAATTTCTACCCCTGCACAGGGTGCATAGTCAAATTATTCAACAAAANTAAAAAAAAAGAACAAAATTTATGGCAATAATAGCCGATAAAACGATTGGAACACAGCATGGATTTATGATGGTATCGACGCAAATCGGTGATTACTCAAATGCGCGACTCCATCGGAATTCTAAAAAATATGAGAAAATCAATCGCATTCGTTATCTCTAAAAGAAAAGAAAAAGGATCGAAACACGGATTTGCGATGGTATCGAGCGCGTTGAAATGCTCATTTCGAAATTTCCATATCGTAATATCATATTAAAATTTATTTTGATCTAATTGTAGCTAAATAAACAATGAGACAAGTATATAACATTCATGAAATAATTCTTCTGTTTTACATTGGAATTTGCAACAAAATTGCTACTCACTGAAATATAACATAAAAAAAAGCATAATTTTTTTCTTAAAACCATCATCATTTCGGAATTACTTATTAATTCCTTTTGTGTTCGCCTCAGTTCTTTATTATTTCTAACCGAGGCTGTTTTTTCTTTTCTGTCCTCAAAGTTCCGTTTTTGTTTAACAAATCTGCATGCATTATCGCGAGTGAATGAGAGTGTTAGTTACGGCGATAATGTTTTGTTAACGAGATTTTGCGTAAGTGACAAAAATAAATTTTACATTAGCAAAACTCCGAGAAAATTTTGTAAGAATATAAATTATTGATTTTCGTGAATCATAACCCAAATTGACTTAGCGAGAAATATACATCAAATTACGAGAATTCTACTTATCTGAAACGGATTGTTTAAACATCAAGTAAATGCGTTTTTATTTTATTCAAAACCCAAGTAGTAGCTAAAAGAATATATTCATTAACTAAAACAAATAACCGCTTTCTTAATAGGAAGTGTTCTTGCATTGCATCCTATAAAAAATTCAGGCTTCAATGGGTCTCCCACTGTTAAAATAACCATTGTCTATATGCACCTTTAAGTGTTCATTTTCTCATAGTTATAGAAGAAAGCTTTCAAGTTTCAACCACGCAAAGTGCAACAATATTGTTGGTTATCATTACAAATAAAATAGTCTGAATGTGAACCTTAGCTTATGGATGATAATAATCAGGGGTCTGTCCAGACATTTTGTAAAAGGTCCTGTTTCTGTAAAATTGTGAAAAAATTACTCATAATTTGTGATATATAAGCGTTAATTCACATTCTTTCAACCAAGGTCCCGCTTTTGTGAATTTGTGCAAATAGGGTCTTGTTATTGTAAAAATTGCTAAAAATCTTTTCAAGAAGTTTTTAAATTGTAAATAGATACAAGATTATGCTCAACAATTGATGCTACTAATTTAGACATGCAACATGAAAGTACCAGTTACCAAAAAAAGCTGAATTCAACATAAACACAATCAAACATTATGAAATTAATAAATGTATGGAGCTTAAAAAGCTGAATTCATAGTAAAAGCTGAAAACTTTCATGCCTGATGCAAATATTTGGTATTTAGTCTATACTTCTCAATGCAAAATGTTCATTTTGGACAAATAATGGAAGCAAAATCACTCACATTTTTAATAATTTCAATTGACATATTTAAAATAATAGAACTTAGTTATGTATCACTTTTAATGTATTACTCATTAAGCAAACTAACAATTCTTAAATTTATAATATTTTATTTAAAAAATTGCCAGAAATTAATTTTTACTTACATAATATTCTATAAATTAATTTCACGAATAAATATAAATTGATAAATTATTTATTTACAAAAAAAATTATCATTTAATAACAATAAGAAAGTGCACACAATGTTTGTAAAAGTAGAAATATTTTCTTAGAATACTACATTTGGAATTTAAACATAGGGAAACTTGGAAAGATTAGTTCGTTTTCCCACGGGGATGGGTTTATTCGATTAACAAAACAATAATGAAGATAAAAAAATTTGTGAAGGGTCTGATTAAAAGATAAATTATTTTGTGAGGGGTTGATTTTTATGAAAATAGATTAATTTTCAGAAATTAATTGTCTTTTCCTTTTAAGAGAAATTATGTTGATTCAACAAACTCAATTCAAATTCATATCGAGCAAATAAGATTGACACGAAATATTTGATATTATAATTTTTTTTTTGTTGGAACATTTGTTATATGCATCTGAAGTTTTTAAAAACTGAAAGTTTTGAAAAGGGGTTCTATATCTGGAACCTTGCTGACCCTGTCTCAAAGTAACATATAATAAGGATTAATGATTATAAAGTGTTTATATTTGAAGTTTTTTAACAAAGGCAATTGACATCTAGGGCCGTCACAAAGTTAAGACAAAAATTTGCTAATCACTAATTTTTTTGAGAGTATAGCTGAATATTAAATATTTTTTCAATTTTAGCAGATAAACTCTTATTTGTCTTAGCAATATCTTATTTTACACTTACCTATATATTTTACATTGCATGACCTACAAAAAGATGAATAAATGAACATTGAATAATCATGTAACTAAAATAAACAAAATTTTTTTTAAACATAAAATGGGAAAGTGAACATTCAGAATAAATCAAAATATTACTTACCAATCAATCTAAAAATAGAAAGAAAAGTAATTGGTAAAATATTTAATACAATGTACGACAGTAAAAATTAGAATACAGAATCTTTTTAAATAACACTTTTACTGTTTGACGTAGGCAAAAATATATTTTAGCTGATAAAATTTTGATTCAGTAATATATATAATTTTATTTTAGTTATGATACTAAGCTACAGACTTTTATGTTTATTATACCTTTATATTATATAGGACCCAATTTCGGCATTTTAAAATTTTGCTTATAAATAACCTACGTTCAAGCTTCTAGAATTGTATATGAAATCAGCCCTGCTTTAAAATGAATTGACTTACCAAGTCTTAAAATGGTTATCATAGGTACAAAGCCTTTGTGAATTTGGTTTGAATCCATACTGAAGTAAAATAGTCAATTGTTCGAGACAACCAGTCAAAAGAGCTGCAGTAACAGGACAATATTTAAAGTCAGTCAATTCATGCCCATCAGTCCAAGCTCCCCAGAAATCAAAATGAAGAGCATGAGCAGCTCTCATAACGCATTTTAAGAGTTCTGCAGCTTTAAGCTTGCGATTTTTACCAATTACACCAGACAGCACTGCTATTTTAGATTTATTTTGCACACACAATGTTTGCCAAAGCTCTAAGAATAAAGTAGGATCATCACATCCTTTTTCAAGCAATTTATACGCTATGTAATAATACAAGTACGAAGATTCATCAGCGTTATAAGTCAAATGAGATAACCTCCACACACGGAGAATTTTTTGTACCAAAATTGGTAAATCGTCACGATCACTCTGGGAGATATCGTTTAACACAACAACCTTGTAGTGTTCGTAAATTGCAAGTGAGCAGTAGTGATGAATTTCTGACTCACTAAATGTAATATGAAACCAAGGAATACGATGGGAGGATAATTTTTTATACTCGTAATCGATAAGATTGAGATAGTCAAGGAATGGTGATTTGCCCCACTCAGACCAAACAAGTTTTCTTGAAGAAGATTCATATATATTAAAAACATTTTTCAGAGTTTCTAAACTTCTGGATCGTTTCAGTTCATTATACAACATAGTTTACGAAAAGGCAGAAAAACTAACATGAATTTTAATGATGATTCAAAAATGAATTTCAATCAGATTTAAGTTTAAAATTAAATTTACACACCAACTCAAATTCCGCGCTACAAAATTCGACGAACACTTACCAAAATAAACAAGATATGCATCGATATACTTCGAGATTATATCGATATATATATTTCAGTACCTCTATTTCCATATATTGATATATCTTCGATTTTTTTTTTTATAAAACGATATTAGTTAATTCTATTGCAGTTTTAGGTTGGGGGAAATTTTTAAAGCATAAAATTTACCCTTTATATTTTATTAAAATCCAAAGTTAAGTAAATATAAAAGTTTAGGGTATTATTTTTGGCAGTACAATATAGTTCCCAAAAAGCGACGTCAAGAGAACAAACATGACGACATGACGTAATCTATAAACATTGACAGTCATGAGAGTTCAAAATTGTTTAACAGCTCAGCTGAGATGAAAATACTGCAAGTAATCGTTACCTTAAATGTTGTCAATTTTCAATTTAATTTCAAGAATAGATTTGTAACGATCTTTTGAGTTTTAGTATTCTAATTTTATGTTTTTGGAAAATTATTTTTACACTTTTTAAAATGTATTTTAATAAAATGTTGTTTGGTCATACTCAGACATAATCTATATTTCTCACGACAATTGTAATTAGTAGCTATTTCATATTGTGTTTTATCAACTCTTATTATTGAAATCTGAACAGAAAAAAAGGATTATTATCTATTTACTATTAAAATACTTTCTTGTTAGTAAATTTTTTAACAATTTCAAATGTTCTTATGATATAAAATTGATATTTTGTTTCTTAATCCCTTGAATATTTCAAAATTGTAACCGAAAAGCTCAGAAATGGCTGTAAGGAAATTTTTAATGTAAAAGTGCTGCCAATTTAAATATTATGAAGTTAAAACAAGCTATGATGCTTCAAATGAAGAAATTTGCTTTTCAAAGTATTTCAAATATGTCATGTCAGGATTTCTGCATAACCTTGCCGTAGTTTGTTTGATTATATATATATATANTAACCCTGCCATAGTTTGTTTGCCTATATATATATATATATATATATATAAATACAAAAGGGATAAAAGAAATGAGAGATTATCAAAGAAAATTAATAATAGTTTTTACTTACTGTGCTTAAGCTGCAAGTACATCCAACTCATAACTAGCACATAGAGAAAACAAGGAAAAAGGTATAAAGAATTTTTAAATGAGAAGAAAAAGTTATTAAAAAGTGTTTTTAAAAAGCTTATATATATAATACAAAAACATTTTGTAGATTTAAGGATTATTCTTGGTTTGCCTGAACAAACTTTCCTATGCTTACCAATGGAGGTGCATAAAGGGTTTCTTTTCTTCTTCACACAACAACACCAATAATGATTTTTATGGCCCCTTTCATTCTCAAGTATTATATTTTCATGAAGTTTGGTATTAGCCCCGAAGTTCACAACAAAATCCTTTTTTTTTTATGAAAATTTTTATGAATTTGTTTATGTTTAAAGAACCTAAGATCAGTGTGTTGTGAAATCAAAGTATAATTTTGACCATTGCTAACAAATTGCTCCTATCCAAAAAGTGATGGCAGTAACTCTCTTTGCTAATATTTTTAAACTAAACAAATTGATAAATATGTGCTGTCTTTTGTCGATATTTCCATCTTCGATTAAAATTATGTTTAAGAAAATTGACTTTATTGAATTATTTAACTTAATCATTGTAATTGTTATTAAATTTGGTTATTATCATTCAATTGCTTGAAAAGCTATGAATATAATTGTGAATATTTTATGAACAACTACTGTGAAACCTTACCTTATCCTTATCTAGGGTGGTCACTTTACATTGCAGATAACTTTTAAAATTTCCTTCACTTTTTGTGTCGAAACCATTTTATACCCCTTTCTTAGAACTGATACCCTCTTAACATGGTAATTTGTTTCTAAAAATGTTCTTAACGTGTAATATCCATTGATTTTTAAAAGTTATTCTTTAGTTCAAACAGGAATTTTGATCAAAGAAGCTGCAAAAGTAAAAATCTTTTATGGCTTTGTTTTGATTGGCTGATTATAAATATTTTAATTTATGTTTATATTGTGTATTGTAACAACCCCTTTTTTAAAGATCTGAATGAGGCCAGATGACTTCAAATCGGTAAAACACAACTATTTAAAAGTTTCCGACTCTTCCTTGATGGGTATATCCTTTTTCCAGTTGGTTAGAGCAACTGGCTGCAATCATGGAAGTGTTTGGTCGAAATCTTGCTGTCTGCCTGCGAGCATCTCACACCTGTCCATGATTTTATTAAGTGTAATTAAATAATAATTTAATTCTTTATTTCTCATTATATATTTATTGAAATGTCATATTAGTAAAAATAGTTAATAGCATTATATTTTGCGCATATCCTTTTCCGAAATTGATATTTCTTCTGAGACGACACTTTTTTGTGTCCTAAGGATTCACTTTTAAATATTAAATTTGTAGTTATTAAAATAGATTCTAACTATAACATGAATTTATTTATTTTCATTTGTAGCTCCAAGGTCCTAAAAAACTGTTGGACATGGAATAAGCTTTTAAATTTTATTTTCATCCAAGTTTGTTTGCTTTACCGAAGTTTTTCTGTATTGCATAAATACTTCGTTATTAATCATTAAAATAAAATAAGATTCTGAAATACCATTGAGTTGGGGATGCACTTTCGAAGAACTAAAAATTAAAAAATTATTTTTGAAGAGCATACTACAAAGCTTTAAAGGAGGTATATAAAGATACACTTACTGCTATTATAAAGCGATAACATTGATACAAATCTACATAATTTTACTAATGAGTGAGCTGATTAGTTTCAAGTAGTCACAATAAAATGAATCAGCTATTTTAAAGGTGTTTAAATGATTTTTTTGTCTTCTAAATTGCTAATTATTTTCATTTTTATTAAGAAATAAATAACTTTAGCAAAATAAAAAGTTGATCATATGAATTGAAATTAAGAATTATGTACAATAGTATTTCTCTGACAGTGTCTTCTTTTACAGATTCCTAGAATCCATAAAGTGTCCATAATCCATAAATCGTATCTGCTCATCTTCAGGCTTTTTAAATCTAGTCAAATGAGACTTCCTATGTAAGCAGCATTTTGTTTTATTTTTTTCATTGTATGCATGATTATTATGATATCTATGATATTTTATCATAAATATTGAATTAAATCAATAAATTTTTATTTCTTTGAACAATTTTTTCCCTCTTATTTCAAAATGTTAACCAGAAAAAGTGAATTCGAAATAAAATATTATGTATTGTTAAAAAGGCATTGTTGTCAGTTCATTGTTATGTTCTTGTTATAGATCTTTCTTTAATAATGCTTACTTTTATATGCATACCTTTATATTTAAAGAGTTAAAAATAATATTGTGAGGACTGTAATTTTAAACCTTTATTGCTAGTTACTTTAGTTCTTCGATACTGTTTAAAATAATTTTACTATGATGAATCCACTTATGTTCCTATTTTAATTGTCTTATCTTATCTATGATCAATAAAACTGAAAATAGTGTAATTTTTTCTAATGAATTGAATTTATAGCCATGTATAAATAGTAATTTTTTTCTATATTTATAATAACATTTGAAGTTTTTTTATTTATTATGTATTATAAGATTTTTTAAAATTCCATAGAATGACAATTTAATTTACCTTATAATTTCAGTCAATTTTTAAGGAATCTGATTATTTATTTATACAATGCCAACTAAATATATATAGATTTGATATATTTTTACAGCTATATATAAAATATATATATATAGCTGTGAAAGATAAATAAATTTGCAATTGTAATATAAATTGCATAAACATAATGATATTTAAAGTTGAAATTTTTTTTTTATTTTGCAGATATAAAAATTTTTTGAGACTGTAAAAACTTAATTGAATTATAGAAAATGGCCACTGGCAATGTTGATAGTCCTATTTCTGATAGAATCTGCAGCTTACAGCAATTGAATTTAAATATTTTCAATAGTGCAGATATTTCTGATGGGCAAACATGTTTAAACATGCAATCTACTAATATGAACAGTGCTACTTTCAAAGAATCTGAAAATATTGAAGAATTTACTAATCAGTTGTTGAATGCGTGTGGTAGACAATCTTCTGTTGATGACAACTGTGAAAATAAACAATCTTTCACAGATAGTTCAAAAGACTGCTATTCAGCTGTCATGGATAATAATAAAAATTCATTAAGTCATGGAAACTTTGACAAACATGACTCTTATGCCATTTTTCAAGCACAAAATGCAATGCCTGAAGAACTTTTTATCAATGTGGAAAGTGAAGATGAAGGTGTACATAGTTGGAGACCAAATATGTCTTCTACAGCCTTATGTTCAGATTTTTTTGTGACTCCTGGTCTTGTGTGTGAAGATATGAACCTCAACTTTCAAAATGACTCTCCTAAATGGACTTCTGAGATTCAAAATTCACCTTTAGTGTTGAGTTCAAAATTGCCTCAGCTGGCAAACCAAGCTGCCAACTATGCAAAAATGGATTTATCAAGTAGGAAATTATTATATAACTTTAAACAAGAAATTTATAAATCGCTTTTATTTGATGAAGAATTATTTTCTCTTATTGTTATTAATTACTGGTTTCTAAAACCTGTTTAATTTTAACTTTTAAAAAAGAAATGATCTCGTTGAATTTTAAAGTGTTTAGAGTGAAGCCTAGTTCTATGCTAGTAAGCTTTCACAATTCTTTAAGTCCATTAACAGATTTTTAATTTCTTTACATTGATTAACATTAGGAAACTAATTTATTTTCACTCAACATTGCCTTTTTGTCTATAAATTTTTTTGGGCAGACACGACATGTTTGGCAGTCCTTTTATATAAAAACTTCAATTTCATTACAACTTGATGTTTTGTTTTCAACTTGAAAAAGTTGGACTTAAATTATACCAGATAGGTTCTTAATTTTATAAGAGTGGAAAATAATACAGCATACAAAAAATACATTTCAGATATTTAGCACTAATAAGTTAATCAACACATTAATGTGTTAATACAGTGTTCTCCCTAAGCATTTTTAGAAGGCCGGTCTGACCTTTGATTTCTAAAAATGCACTCTCCTTGCTCTTTTTTTTTTTTCCTAATCAAAAATAAGCTGCCATTCCTTAAAAACTTTGCCTTTTTATTTTTAGTGGAAAAGGCTATTTTCTTAACCGCCTGTTTCAATGAAAAGTCCACTTTCGATTTATTTAGTTATTATTTTTATTACCCTTAATTTTAAATTTTATTTCTTCGTTTTAGTAAGATTTTTTTTATGTTGTCTAGTTATATAGCTAAAATTTGCATGATATTAAACTATAGAGATATTCACCTGAAGTTTTTTTTCCTTCATTAATTTTGATAAAATTATTCTAACATATTGTATATGCTCTTAGATCAGCTTATTAACCTAAGTCGGGATTTCTTTATAAAGAAGTATATTTTTTTCTTCCAAAACACTGAAAAAAGCAGGAAGTAATTACAATCTAAAAATGACCAGTACAATTGTTTAGCGATAAGTATTAGCTTAAATTTGACGCCCGGTGGCTGAGTGGTAGCGCTTCGCTTTCCCGTGCCACAGATCCTGGGTTCGATCCTCGGACTGGACAGGGTTGACTCAGCCTTTTATTCCTTCAGTGGGTCCATAAATAGTACCAAGCATGCTTGGGAACTAAACACTGGGGGTTTCGAGTTCGGCTGACCACCTAATCGGAACATCTGCTCTTACACTCCAGAGCCCAAGGTCAAGAAAATTGAGATGGTCACAGTAGGCCTTGGCCCTCTATGGGCTGTCGTGCCACTGAGTTTAGTTTGAATTAGCTTAAAGTTAAACATATAAAAATTTATATAGTATAAAAAAGTTTAAAATTTTCCTTCATATTTACTCTCTGAAATTTTTTTTCTTCTGGTTTTACTTTTATATAAAATTTTAAAATCTATTTAACCTTTTATAATGTTTTGTTTTTAAATGGGTAATGTCTTATTTTTCTAAATAAATATAAATATGTACTCTTACATCTAGATAAATTATGTGTACTTATTATGTTTAGTTTATATATTCAATTAAAAAAAAATAATAATTCACTGTTTAAATAACAATTACACACTGGAAAGATTAAATATTTCAATTATATTAAATTAATAATTCAGGAAAAATAAATTAAGTCTGATTATTATTATAAATATTTTTTTGTTAGGATTATTCTCAACTGGTCAAATTTTTATTATTAATATCTTTTTTTTTTGGGGGGGGGAGGGTTATATTAATTTTTTTAAATTTTTCCATTATTTTTTTAAGTACCTTCCATTTAAAAATGTACCATTAAATGATTATTTCCTCATGATTTTCAGTTTAAAGTATAGAAAAAGCTTTCAAAATGTTTATCAATTAATTCTTTTTTTTTTTTTTTTTAGTTTACTTTTTTGAAGGAAATTTATACAGAGATTGTCTCGTAGCTTGCCTTAATGATTTTTAAAAGCTTCAAAATTTTCTGTTATTTTGATAATGAACACAGAATACTTTGTGAAATATACACATAAAATTGTATAAGAAGGTAATTTTAAAATTGAATGTCAAACTTAGTTATTACACATTTTGATAATTTTTAATGGTGATAGATGTTTCAAAATTCAAATTGCCCTTTTCTCTGAGGATGGTCTTTTCTCTCTCTCTCTCTCTCTTTTTTCTTCTTTTTTTATTTCTAGGAAGAACTCAATATTAACAAAAAAATAAAGCTTTATGAATTTTCTTAGTTTAAGTTAATGACTTATTTTGTACTGGGGTGACATAATGCTATTAGTACTTGGAATAAATTTTTTATTAATAATTATAAAATATAATTTTATTTATAATGGAACATTGTATAATTTTTTCTAAAATTAGTGTTTTGTTTTGGGCATTGGTGTTTTTGCAAAAATTAGTGATCGTTATACAAATATAGTTTTAGACAGATGACAAATTGGATGAATATTTTTCTATTAGATTTTGATTTGTTGCCTTTTATTGGTTTCGATCTGAAGTATTGATTTTATCTTTTACATCTTATAAAAATTTTATACTCTTACAGAATTTTAAGCTCCTTCACTATTATGTTAATTCTATGGTCACAGAAGAATTTTTATTCATTTGAGAATTTTATCTGTCAAGACTATTAGCTTATTTTAAAAGATATTTATGAAAAGTCTGAACTGGTGTTACTTGTTAACTTACAATCTATAATAATTAGCACAAATACAAAATTTATGCTAATTATTATAGAAAGTAGACTAATTCTAAATTTGATTACTGATACTGACTGAGTTATTTAGAAATTATTTGCTAACATAAGCCTTTATATTAGTTTAATGTACATTCTTATAAATGCTCAAATATAAAAAAAAATACAAGGTTGGTTTTATATATATTTTCTTTTACTAATGTTTAACCTTATGAAGTCATACTCAAATAGCATTGAAAAAAAAGGAGGCTACAGGGTTATTATTTTTCAATTATTTTTTATACCCCATAGTTCAGGCCATCATTAAAATTTTCAAAAGGTTTTTATTTATTGCAGAAATTTTAATTTATAAACTATTGTTTGCTGAATTTTCATTATTTAGAATGATAATGAGTAGAAAAAAATTCTAATGAAAACCAAAATGAGTGTTAACTCTCAAACGATAGCAAATTATTCATTTTATTTATTGATTGTTTATAATATTTTTAGTTCAATTTTAATCTTGCTATCTGATTATATACCGTATATTCCGGCGCATAACGCGCCCCGGCGTTTAGCGTGCACCCGTAATTTCTAATTACTTTTTTTAAATTTTAAGATATACTCTTCGTATAACGCGCACGAAAATTTGGATTGTACATGTGCAATATCTCGTCTTTCAAGATCGTAAATAAAAAGTATTTTTCCCTATCTTTTGCAAAAATAAAAGAACTGAATTTGACATGTATGTGAGGGTAGAATTGAAAGAGCAATAATGTGATTCTGGATGGACAAAAATAGTGTTAAATTGTGGGTGAAAGACATCTGGCAAATCCGTCCTGGTTGCGTTAGAAAACCACAAAGCCTTTTAGAGTGGGACTTGTTTAGGTCCCACCTTACAGATAATACAAAAAAAATTGTAATTATAATGCAAAAAAATTTTAATAATTGTAATTGATAGCGGAAGAGGAATATAATGAACTATTTATGTAATAACGAAAATCAATGAACTACACAGGTAAGGGTATGTTATTTCTTTAAAATAAAAGTATTTTTCTATATTTAAATTTTTTTAATCCATAATTTTTTATATTCGGCGTATACCGCGCACCCGTAGATTCCAATGTTATTTTTTGTATTAAAAGTGCGCGATATACGTCGGAATATACGGTATATAGAACTTTGAAAAATCTCATAAATGGTGAAAACTTGAATACTAATCTTAATAAATGAACTTTTTAGATAAAACCATTTCAATTTTTATATATTATATATGTATATCATGATCTTTTAAAATGCTTTAACAGTTTTTCCAGAAATTTTCTTATGACAGTATTCTGTATTTATCGAAATATCTCGGAGATGAAAAATGTTCTCTTTGTGCCCGATAGATGTAGAGAATTGTAAGTTACATTTTTCACTGTGTATGTTACAAAATAGATTGTGTTCGAAATCAGGCTTAGGTTTGGACTTTTCAATTCAATTATAGAAGTTATTATTTTTATATATCTTCAAACTATTAGGACCCATCCCATAGCATAAATTATTACATGTTGTTCATATATTTTTTAATTTTGACCTTAAGGTTTCTTGCATGCACAAGTGGCTGACTTAAATAACGTTAAGTATGAAACAATCAATGCAAAGAGAAGGATTGCTGAATTGAAAGAAGAAATTCAGAAACTGACTAAAATTCTCCAGGAAAAGTTAATTGTGCAAAGGGTAAGATTTAAACTTCTGTGTGTAACCATTTTCCAAGAAACAATAAGAAAAACAAAATACCGGGCTAGCTTTGAAATTATTTATTTAATTAGTTACGAGCAGAGCACAGAAAACAGTTACAAATTACTAAAAAAAACACAAATTAACAAAACGAAACTCACATAACACTAAATGGAGAGATTATTTTGGAGATGTTCTCCAATCGGTTGCCGCAGTTCAACTCAAAAGTCTCGCCACAAGATGGCGTGGTGGTAATTCAGTTTTAAAGTAGTATAGTTCTGAAACAATAAGAATAACAAGATACCGGGCTAGCTCTGAAATTATTTATTTAATTAGTTACGAGCAGAGCACAGAAAATTTCAAATTTGAGTTATCACTTTTTGATGCACCCAATTCGCATCTGTGCTGCCATTTCCCAACAGTTTTTTTTGGCAGTTATTATAGTTAGTATGGATATTTCCAAATCATTTTTAAATTATTGATATCTTAAATACAGTATTATTGCAACTGGCAAACTTGAAATTGCACATTTGAGTAATAAACTTTTAATTCGTCTATTTTGCGATCATTTCTTGCAAATTCATGTTGGTTTTTAGATACCTTTCTCGTAAATTATTACTATTATTTTTGATATTGTTTCTAAAGTATCAAAGACTTTAATATTATTACAATACATAAAATTTCGAAAATGTGAGAGTTTCGCCCATTTTAAAACAGGTTAGTATACTACACAAATTCATCGCAGTAATAAATTTTTTATTGAATAAATTAAGAACCTTGGATATTATGGGTCGTTAAAGAACCACATATTTTTATGTGAATTACAATACTCTTTTTTGAGAATGTAGTGTCAATGCTTAAAAAGAAATCTTTACTGGTAATCCATGATTAGTAGTGCGGAGGTTGTACTATAAAAAAAAAGGGTAAACATAGAAAGATGAAGTGAAAAATTTATTTAACCTTAATTGGATGAGTCTTAAAAAATTATTTTCAAAACTTTAAGGGACTAAAAACTGTAAGTCTTAAAAGGGGAGAATACTATGACCTTTTGTTTATCTAGCAATGTAATAGTTATCTTAGCCAAAACTGCATCAATAATAAATTTTTTTTAAAAATCTTATCTGTTGTTGTCAAATACGTAAATTTAGATGCCTAGTTTTGATACAATGAAACTTATGTAGCTTGTAGCATGAAAGTAACATAAAACATTGTTATTTGAACTTTCATACGAGTGTAAATTATTAATATTTACCATTCAGTAGTTGCTTTATTGTAATCTGTCACATAATAATAATTATGTTGCATTTTCTGCAAAATTTATTGCAATAATGCTTTTAAAAAAACTTGTATGAAACCTTGGTTTTGCTAACACAGTCAAACTTGGATAATTCGAAGGGCTGGGGGCCTCTGTGAAACTTCGAACTATCCGAAAAATGTTATTTTTATGTCTTAAAATAATCACTCGTAACAGAAATTGTGAAATAAAGATTGTTTATTAATTTTAAATTAAAACGCTACAATTTTTAAAAATATTTAGCTATATCAGATTGCTTTAAAGAGCTTACTTGATTTTTTCTAACAAAATCTTCAAGAATATTTATAGCTCTAAACACAGCTTCCCTTGTCCTTCTGCATAGCGTCGATATTCTGATAAATGAACGACTGCCTCATTTGAAGTTGGAATTGACCTCTGTTCTTCTACCTCATCTTCAATATCTTCTTTGTCTTCTGTTGTAATATTCTTATTGTTTAGAACTTCAGATAGAATATCTGTATCCGATAACTCATCCATACTGTTTTCATCCATACTGACATAATCATCGAACGGAATGTTGTCTTCCCATGCAACTGGGGGAGGTAAATTTTCTTCATCGAAAAGATCTCTAGGGACAGTGTTCCTGATGAATCCTGCCTTCCGAAAACAATTTGCTATAGTTTTTTGGCTGACTGGACCATGCATTTAAACACATTCTTGAAGCATCAAGGAGAGTAATGAGAAGCTTTTGGGAAGATTCAGTAAGGCGGTGTTGAACGACTAGACATCTGTAGAAATGCTTCAGATTTTTAATGATGCCTTGATCTATTGGTTGCACCACTGATGTCATGTTTGGCGGAAGAAAAACAACCGTGATATTTTCCATAGTGGGTATCGATTTATGAGCAGTGTAGTTATCAATAAACAGGATGATTTTTCTGTTTTTTCTTTGGTATGTGCGATTGAGATCTAGTAGCCATTTTTCAAAAATATTCGCCATCATCCATGCTTTTGTGTTAGAATGGTATTCTATCGACTTTGATTTGACATTTTTAAAACACCTTGAAAATCATCAGTAATGGTAGTTTCTCAGTGCCGTCCTTGTTTGCTCCTATAAGTAAGATTATTCGGTCTTTACTGTGTTTTCCACCACTTCATTTTTCACTTTTAAAAGCAAGAGTCTTTGCAGGGGTACATTTGAAGAAAAGTCCAGTCTCATTGACATTAAGAATATCTCAGTCCTGTGTATACTCAATTTCGGCAATATTTTCTTTCCACTCATTTGCTGCACCTTGGTTTACACTTGAACTTTCACCACACACAGACTTGAACAAAATTCCATTTCTTTCCTTAAATCCGTCTAACCATCCGGAGCTTGCTTTGAAGCTTCTGTTACCTAAACTGATGGCAAATTCTTCCTCTTTTGCATGAACAAGAGTTCCACTGAGAGGGATGTTTTTGTCCCGTGCTTGTTTAAACCACTTTGCAACACACTCGTCCACGTCAGGATAATCAGGCTCTCTAGCTCGCTTGCGATTTCCAAGTCTTTCTTTATTTTTCAAAAAAGTCAAAAGAGTGTTAGACGCTATTCCAAACACTTTTGCGATTATGAATTTTTTTACACCCTTTTCTACTTCTCGAATTACAGCAATTTTTTCATCGAAATATAAGGTTGTATACGGGACACGGGGCTTACTAAACGACATGCTTGCACTGAACTATCACTGCAAAATTAAAATCGCGATATAGAAAACTCAAGTAATATCGACTACAGTCCTGGTTTTTAATGCCGTGATTATAAACCAGTTTCCCAGTGTCGGATGCAAGGTGATCTCATGAAAAAAATAAACGCACCACTATTGGAAGAACACTTGTCAATCAACTGCCCAATGACCTTTGAAGGATGACTCACGTAGGCATAACTTTTTTCAAGATCATGAAGACTTGCCTAGCCGGTGGCAATTTTTTCCCCCTCCGCTTCTACCAATGACATGTATGCATCCTATCAGGTGATTCGAAATACCCTTCCCGTCGTTCACAGATTTTATTTCAATTGGGAACTTCAATTGGGATTGGCTCACTTACAAGGAAAGGGTAGGGGACTACCTGTAGCCAAGGACAGGTGCGTGTGGTCTAGGTCAATTTCCTCTTTATTCCTGTTCTGTTTGAGCAGATAAGACTATTCTCCCTTCCCCTTGTCACCCCTAAAAAAATTTCCATAATAGCTGAAAATAACCAGATTACTTTTCAAAAATAACTGCATTTAAACTAGATTTTGTCATTTTTGAAAGGGCAAAAACTTCGTATTAAAGAAGTTGGATTTCAATATAACTAAGATTTTTTAGCATTAACTGAATATACATGTGTCTAGGGAAGGAGAAAAGCTTTGATTAATGCATGAATTCGAATTAAAGACGTTCAAATTATCCAAGTTTGACTGTAGTATATTTTAACGCTAGCAAACTTTGCACCTGATAAGGAAAACTGAAATCATTCTTTTAATGCTTTTATATTATTTCTTACACTACTTGACATACATTTTCTTCCATGAATGTAAGCTTTGTTTTTTGATTGCACATTTAAAATTAGTTACTAAAAAATAACCATTACTCTTTAAATTTGAAGGGCAATATTTTAATGCTTGTATGTTTCTCTTTTTATGTTATAGACATTAGATGTGGAGAAATTAAGGGAAGAAAATGCTCAGTTGAGATTAGAATGTCAGTGTCTTTGCATGGAAGTTGATTATTATTTAAAAGGCAAAGGTCAGATATTAACTTAAAATCTTTTTCAAATTAAGATACTTATTTTTAAATTCTGCTTACGGTTATAGCCTGGAGCTTATTTTATTGTATACAGTTTTTTTTGCTTCAAAAATCTATTTTTGATAGAACTGTTGTGAACTAGACAAATTAGTATTAAGTGGCATGTGTAATTGAGTTTGTAGTTTTAGCTTTTCCTCTTGCTACTTAGGATGATATTTCTCTTGTAACTCTTTTTTGTAATAATGAAATATATTAAATTTAGGTTAAAAAATTTCATGGTAACAGATTGAGATCATTTCATAAAAATCTGAGTACTCAAGTAAATCTGAGTACTGAGTACTTAATTTTCCCTTTTCGAAAGAGATTTTTCTTCTTCTTTACCATGTCGATTTTTGCCACATACCATGCAAAAGTGTGGTTTTCACATTGTTCCTATTCAAAGTTTTCACAATTCATTCAACCATTACCTTTGGTCTGTAGCGTATGAAAGCACCAATCATATTACATGTTTGATGAAATTCTTAGTCCGCATGTGCGTCTACTGAGCTGAGTTCGGTGAGATTACTGCACTCTCATGTGCAACTCTGCTGCATTTTGCAAGCTATTCTCAATTTCAGGCTTCATTTTTCACCCTCCGATATCGAAAAAAACCTCTCTATCTTTTTATAATGGCTAATGTAATCAAGAAGTCAGAAATTTTATCATGATCACATAAAGCTTTTAAAAATTATTTTGCATTTTGTTGATACATATAGTGCTTAAATTTTTTTTTTGAGTGCTTGAAAAGTACTTAAAAGGTGCTTATTTTTGTTATAAAATTTAGCTACGCACCCTGTGACAATTTCAAAATACTTATTTTAATATCTTTTTTTTTTATTTTATTTTTTCATTATATTAAGAANTATTAATTTTTTTTTTTGAGTGCTTGAAAAGTACTTAAAAGGTGCTTATTTTTGTTATAAAATTTAGCTACGCACCCTGTGACAATTTCAAAATACTTATTTTAATATCTTTTGATTTCATAATATTAAGAACTTATTCAATAAAATAAATGATTGAGACTTCTGGTTTTTGTGCCATTAAAAGTCTACATTAAATCAGCTTTCTACTACCGAGCATAACATTCAAAGTTATATTTCAAAAATTTAGTAAAAATGAAAAAGAAATTGTACCTTTGAATATCAGTATTTTTCAATTATTAAATAATCATTTGAATGTGAGTTTGTGATATGCTTGGTGTAAGGTTGGATCAAATAGCTGGAACTCTTAGGTCCATTATAAATAATTTGTTTAAATTCTCTTAATAACTTGGAAATGCTTCATTTTCTTTTGGCTTGTATTATTGTACTACAAAATTTTTTTTAGCATAGAATATTTTTCTTGGAATGTTAATCAATAATATTTTAAGAATAGCTATACAATTATTTTAATGTTAAGTTTACTAATTTTAGAGTATCTGTATTATTAATATTACTGATTCTAAAATGTAAGCAATATAAGTATTTGTTGCAATAAAATTATTTATACCGAATTTCCAGTGTTCATGAACAATTTCACATAATTCAGTTTTGCTATTTAATTACAAATAGTGTCCAGCTTCAGTAAATTTACTTTTTCCTTCAAATGACCCAAAATATGATACAGTATGTTTATTTCTAGCACCATTAGGTGAGATTGATGAAACCTTCTATCAGGATAAATCTCAGTTACAAAGAAATACTGGTAAGTTGAAATATTTACATATTTAATAGTTTTTTACTATCTTATTTCTTAAACTTTGTTGTCTAATATGGAAAAACAAGATAAATCTGTCTTCAAATTTACCAGTAAGAAAGGATAAAACTAATGCTAACAATTCCTTTTTAATTTTTTTAAAGCTTTTTTTGAAAGATAATATTAATAGTAGTATTAAATTGATAGCAAGAGAACTATTCTTAGAATATCTAAATTGCAAAATTGATTTATTTTATAATTTTTTTTAAAAAAATTGAAAGCTAAAATCAATGCTGTGGTTGCTATACCTATATCAAATCTTACCAACAAAAAAAAACTTTTGTTTTCTTCAATTAGGCCCCCCTTTTTTAAACAAGTTTTATTATATTCTAAGTGCAACCTTGGGCCAATTGGCCATACAATATCTTGCTGTCCAATATAAAATGCATGGCTGCTAAATTTGCAGATTAAATTGTATTTGTTCCAATTTTTTAACCTTGTACCAAAAAACGATTTTATGTCAAAATGTTCTAATTTTCAGTATTCTAGTGCCCTTTCACTCCTTGTACTGTTTTCTTTCAACTGAAAGTGGGTCTATAAACTAGAAGCAGGGCATGAGATTTTTATTGCGAATATTCGTAGAATTCCACGTATCTCAAAACCATTGGTTCACTGACTTCCACGAATCAAAAATTTATAATCCTACGAAATTTTGAAACGTTTTCTAAGTCCCGTTAACAAGACTTTTACATACATATGTATGATTCTTGCACCAATTTCATTCTTTTGGTTTGAAGGATCTTCACCATTTTGAATATTTAAAACTACGCTGGTATTTGTTGATATCGTGATTCTTATTCACACGATTTTAATATCAATCAACTATTTTCGTATTGACCTGATTTAAAAATTATTTGTTGGGATTCACGTAATTTAAATTTTTAATATCGAGCTTAATATTTACACGTTTTTAAAATTTAATATCGCGATTCATATTCACACAATTCAAATTTCCATTATCGAGATTTATATTTAAGTGTTTTTTTAATTCAATATTGTGATTCGTGTTCACGCGAGTTTAAAACCCAATGTCGTGATTTGTATTCACCTTTTTTAACAATCCAATATTGCTATTCGTATTCATGCTGTTGTAATATCAAACATCGATTTTTGTATTTATACACGATTTAAAATCTATGCGCCTAAATTTTTATTTACCCGAATTAAACCTTCAATATTGCAGTTGGTATTTTCGTTTTTTAAAATTCCATATTGCGATTCATATTATCGTGATTTTAAAATCCAATGTCGCGATTCTTGTAAGATGTAAGTTTTTTCTTGAATTATTTGCTACAAAGGTGTGATATTGAGCCGCGATGGCTCGGGATAGAGTGTTCGCCTTCCAATGAGATGAAGCGGTTTCGAATCCCAGCGACAGCCGGCCGATACGAATTCCGCATCCGGCTTGTACCGACCACAGTGCTGTCGTGAAATATTCTCAGTGGTGGATTGATTATGGGTTAGATTCTTCTTGTCGTCAGGCTAACCATAGGATGTTCTCGTGGTCTTCCTCTTCATGTAACGCAAATGTGGGGTAGTTCCAGCAAAAAGTCCTCCACAAGAGCAAATTTCTCCCAATACTTGATCCAGGAGTTTCCTGGATTGGGTTCAAAATTACGAGGCTACGTAGTTGGACATTAGTAGTCATAAACCCGAAAATTGGGTTTGGCTGTTCAAGGACGGTTAAAAAATAAAAAGGCGTGATATTCTTCATTAGTTATTTAATTAAAAATGTTACTTCAAAAAATTATGTTAAATATGAAATGTATGGTTTATAAATTGATATCGACCTTTATGCACATAAAATTTTCAGTTTTTTTTATTCTGTATCTCAATTTTCCCTGATTGTCTTATGCTTTGTGTTCCTATTTGTTGTTTTGAACAAGTTGACAGCTAGGAAAATGCAAAAATCAAAAAGTAAAAGAATCGCCAGTGTCAGTATTCTTCAATTTAGAACTATTAACTAGATGTCGTTTATTCAAAAACCATTCGCCCAAAGAAGCAGAATAATTGGATAGAGATGCTGCTGAAAGTAATCAATAACAGGGGGAATCTTGTAAAAGGCACTTCCATTTTTTACCCAAAGCAATATCACTATATATACCGAATGTTTTAAGTATATTAAAATGGTGTATAAATTTAAAACAATGTATTAGTTTGTAATTAGAAAGAGTCATAACTAATTTACAGTTAGTGGCTCATGAAATAATAAAATTGGTACAGAAGTAGAAATCCAAAGTTTACTTTAGTCTTCATCAATGATTTATAGATTCTTAAGAAGAGGGAAAAATAGTGTGTTAAAATCGAAGCCGACTTTTGCGAATACATTCACCACTACAATAAACCCAAAATGACTTAGAATCCATCACAAAACAATTTTCTTTCTATTTTATATATCAATAATTTCTTTCTATTTATAAAAGATAGCATTGCAGCTTGGAAATCAAAATTAAAATTTTTTTTCTCCTTTGCAAAGGTGATTTTAAAGCTTGAGACGCTAGGAGTATACTTCCCATTAAAGTTGCAAAGAAATTCCATTTCAATTATTTTGAGATTGACTGAAAGCACCAGCATTTCCTGTTTAGCATGAATATTTTTTATAAATGATTGAAATCGAAAAGAATTGCAGTTCTACCTTAGAAAAATGTTCTTTTTATATATATAAAAAAAAAACTCATTTATTTCATTAATTTTTAAATGATTAGCTATGAAAATTTCAGTGAAGGGCTGTCCATTGAATGGGTGAATTAAATCTTTCACAAATTTTATCAGCACAATAAAAAAAAGTAGGTAGTGATTTCAGTCTTTTTGTTTGTTTTCAAGAAGTTATTTAACATTTATGACATAGTGCTTTTTATCTGCGATGTACTGATATGCTTTTCATTTTTGTTGTTTGAACTTCTCTCCAAGCATTTTATATTTTACTCTTTTCTCTACAATTAGTTTATTTTTATTTTAAGCTACTAGTCAAGACCAGACTGAGGTTTCATCAAAATCAATTGATAGTTTGGAAGACGATTGTAAGAAATGGGAATGTCCTGTCTGCACTTTCGCAAACCATCCCGCTATAAATTCTTGCGAGATGTGTCAGTCTCCACGTTTTTATAGAAATCCTCTGCACTCCTCTGAGTTGAAAGACAGTTGCTTCTGCCATCCTGACTCCAGTTGATTATAATATTGATGAACTCTTAATAGTCCTTCCATATAGAATATTTAATTAAGTTAGTGTGTACAAAGATTTAGTAACTAACTGATTTTTAAAACTTTTTTTCTGATGCATTCTTCGTATTAAATTTAATTCAATAATTTAATGTCTAGGTATTCAATAATCTGCAAAATAGGAAATAAGTATTGGTGTTGTATAATAAATCAAAGTATATTTAGAATAACAGATATTTTCTTTACTTTTGACCTTAGCTACAGTTTGCACTTAAATTCACTTTTTTTACTCAATGGAAGTTTTGATAAGTATGTTCTACTAACAGCTTCAAACAAATTATGGACTAGAAAAAAGAAGCAAACATTTTCATGTTTCTGCACAATGATATCAAAAATCAATTGTGTTACATATTAACTAAGGAAATGTAAAATATGGGGTGGTATATTTTTCTGAGTTTTTTTGCATTTTCTCAAGTTCATTTTATTTTTATACACATTATTTTGTAGTGAATCTTCATTTTTAGATCAATCTATAAATTTGTACAAATATTAATTGTTTATATTATAACAGTTTAATGTAAATATGTTTAGTGCTTTATAGACTATCTTTAAATGAATAAGACTGATGACATTAATGTAGATGTTGACTTTTTTTCTCCTATTAACACATTTGTCCCATTTAATAAAATGTAGCTTTATGCAAACTTTTTACCTTAAGAAGGTGACAAAATTAATCTTTTTTTCCAGAAATTTAAATAAATATCTTGGATTGTTTTATTATTTGCATGCATGTAAATTAAAAGTTTAAAAGAAAAAAAAAATTATTTAAATATGTGGATTTTGCCAATGAAGTAATAGTTATAAGCAGTTAACACAGAGATGGGCAAACTATGTCCCGCCGGAAGGTTTTATCCGGCCTGCGGATAGAATTTCAACTTGCCGATCTGTGGCGAATATAAACAATACATCCATTTTCTTGTCTACTTTGTTTAAAGCTATTTTTCTTCTTTCTTTTTTATCAATGTACTGATGACCTTTTTACTTTCTCTATTTTTGTTCTACAAAACATAAATTAATGGAAATAGTAAGCACAGACAGCTTCAATTGGTAAAATGTTGAAAGCAGAAGTTCTTTATAGAATTGCCGTAGATTGACTCCTACGAGCGTTTGTCTTTCTTGAGGGGCAGACATATGGAATCTAATATAGGTGAATTGTACTTCACATTTGGCAGACCGTATTTTAAGCTCCAACGAGCAGATTTTTCTGCCGGTGCGAGTTCTAACATTATTTACTGCATATGGAAAGATTGCACACATTTATTTCATTGTAAAGAATGGTGAAATTATTAAATATATAAAATGGCTACTGCTTCTTTAACCCCTAAATGGCAACTAAAAAACGCGAAGTTGATTCAGAGTGCCATACGTTCAATGATGAATGGACTTTATTTTATTTTAGAAGTTTTTACTTGGCCCAACAAGCTTTTTTTTTTTCTTTCGATTTTTGCCCCTCGACCAAAAAAAGTTTGCCCATCCCTCAGTTAACACTAGATTGCCCAAGGAAGTCATTTTAACTGCTTTTTACTTTCAATTAGAAAAACAATGATGTATATAATGACACAATTTCTTAGAATTTCGTGACATTTTGTACAACATATAATTTTTTTTATTGTTAATATTTACAAATAACTCGTTACATAACTGTAAATGATATTAAAAATTAATTTGAAACAAATTTCTTTACACATTAGTTATTCTTTCATAATGCAGTCATTTTGACTGCTTTTGGGCAATATAGGTATTTCAATCTTTCTAGTGTTAAAATTGTAGTAAATAGAAATATTTTATTATTATTTAGAATGATTTGGATCTATTAGCAAACAATTCCCGTTTTTATAATGATCTTTATTTTTAGGTTGCTTTGGTTTCTTAATTTGAATAAATAAAATAACTAACTCTCTAAAACTTAACAATATAAAGCTAATTTTTGTTCTAATTGTGTTCCTAACTTAGAAAGTGTTCTTTTATTGTCTGGTGTTATGAAGTGCTTTCAAGTTCTGTTTATGTTTCCTGTATAATAAAATAAAAACTTTCAAAAATACCTTCATAATTATATAATATAAAAGTAATTTCACTTTGTTCAGATTAAATTTTTAAGAATCAGTCATCATGTTCCAGATTTTGTTCTTAATAGGTTTGAAATCTATTTCTTACATTTGATAAAAGAAACATTTATTAGCACAAATGAACTTCATTGTTTAAGAAATTTAAATGAGCCCTTTATCTATATTCACTGATTTTATTTAAACTTCAATTAAAAATTAACTTGCCTGTTTTTCCTTCTCTAGTTAAATTAACTTATTTTCATTGGTAAAGTCACATTTAAAGTGGATGACGAAAAAACAAATACATATTTAAGAATTGTGACTAAGTGATTATATTTATACATTCCTGAATAGACATCATTGTAAATGTGACTAATTAGTTACTAGGCAACTTAGCAATGTGTATAAAGTTATTGTAAGTTATATTAACTATTGTTGCATTTATATTGTTTTCGAAATTAATGTTGTGTGTAAACTTGTTATTTTTTAAAGAATTTTGTTTTAGTGTGTTTTAGATCATTTTGAATTTATGCTCAACCATACCATATATCTGGTGTCGACCTGTTTTATAACTTCCTTGTTTTGTTTACAAAATAGGTAATTTCTAAATGTTTGGTGCCATCACTGTCGATAAGCCGATCATTTTCTGTATGTGTCAAATCTTTTTCCTTATGAAATATTATCTTAACTTTTCTTAATTTTTTTAACATAATTTAAGTTTTGTTTCTAAAAAAACGTTATGTGTAAAGAAAATATAATGAGAGAAAATTCAAATCTAATTGTATATAACATATTCAAAATAATTTTCGAAAGGGGTAATTTGTAAAAATAAATTGATAGAGTTATTTATATCTATTGCATTGATTATGATGCATCGCTAGTACAACTTTATTACCAGTGTATCAGTCAGTTATTTGAATTTTGGAGGTTTGAAAAGTAGGCTTGTGCACTGAGATATATGGTATAGAATAGTTTCTTCGTTTTTAATTGGAGCCTTATGAGGTATTTTTTTTCTCAAACTCTATGATTACATTTTTCTGTATTAACTGAGTTTTTAAGAAATAAAAGCAAACATGACTATTTTTGTTGTTACTGTTTATATAGTAAGAAAAAACATGCATTTTATTTACAAAACATTAATCTTGAATAATCTTTCTAAGTAGTGACGACCATTTAAACACATGCCTTTTCATTCTAGAAAGTTTTTATCCTCAGTTGTGAAGAAATTAAATTGTAAAGGGTGAGATATAAAAGAGCAAACAAAACTAGTAGTTAGTCAAAAAGTAGGAATTGAAGAGAGCAAAGATTTTGCAAATTTTAAATTTAATCTTTCTTTTAAAAGATTTAGTTAATTAAGCAATTTGTATTCCATTAATCAAGGAAGCATTGACACTTACAAGTTTAAATTTATTTTAATACTTTTAGCAAAATTGGATACTGAAATTTTAGAAAAAATTATAATATAGAAAATGTTACGTGTACTGTGTATATGTACTATAAATTTATAAAAAAAACTCTGGAACTCTTAGTTTTTTATTATTATTTTTTGTTGTGGAAGAAACTGACTCTTAGCTCATTTTAAATGCGTTCAGATTTATTGGCATGAATAATAAAAAAAATAGAACTAATTGACAAGATCAAAATAATATTAAATAATCAAGTTCTGGCAATTTCAAGGATAATGTTTTTATTGTGACAGTAAAGTAAATGAAAAAATACAAATGAAGAAAAGTGTGAACAATTTTAACAAAAGCTTTCCTCCGTAAAATCAGAAAATAATAAATAAAAAATATGTATGTAATTAAAAATAATGAGAAATTTTTCATAGGAAAAATATTGAAATGAGTCAACTTTCATTTTTTAAAAGAAATTACCTAATACAGAAGCAATAAAACAAAAAGCAGTGCAACAATTAAAAAAAATATTTTCTTTAAGATTGTATCAAATGTTCAGTTTGATGGCTTTCAGGGCCAAATAAGGTAGAAATATATATAAATATTAAATTGCGTTTGATAAACTAACATAAAAAAATAATTAAAAAAAAAAAGATGAAAAATTGGGGTCGTGGATACTTATTGCTCTTAAAAAGATATTTTGCATTTCGACTGTTTACAATCTGTATCATTGAAATAATTATTTTAAAATAATTTTCAATAAAAAACTAGCCAAATAAAATTATTCCACTTTATCATATTTGTCAAAACAACTTATCTCTAAAATTGAAATTAAAGCTTAATAAAGAAAGGTGAAAACATTAACTTTAAGCATTAAGAAGATTCACAGCTGTGATAGATGTATATGGTTGGATGTTATGAAACAAACAGTTGTCAAAAAACCGATTTACAATGTTTTTACACATTTTTTAATGTCTTATTAGACCTCTTGTGTAAAACTTTTGCCATTATATGGATTGATATTTATGTTTAGCTACTTAATTTTAAGATAACATTTCATTAAAAATCATTACATGGTTTATCATGAAACTATCACTATTTTTTTTAAATGAAATTTTACATATAACTAATATTTAAAATGATAACTTTTTTGAAACATCCTTTCGGAGTTCATAATAAGGAATTTTTCAAATTTACTTACTAGCATTGTAACATAAAAAAGGATAAAGAATTCTCTGCTGACAAAGATAATCAGTAATTTATCATTTTTGAGAATTCTGACATTTGACCCTAAAATGAATGATTACGGTATCAATGAAATGGTATATTTTTACAATATATATTTCATGTTATATCTTTGATAATATAACAGAATTATTCACAATATAATTTAGGTTTTCTTCCAAAAATACAAAAATTTACATATCTCTTGAAATAACAATTTCTTTTCTCAGTAATAAACTCAACATATTCGATAAAGAATGAATTATAGTTTTATATGATAAATGGAATGTGTAAAGCAAATAAGCAAAAAAATACAAATGAAATATTTAGCTGCAATGTGGATATAGAAGCATGATTCAAATGTTTTGAAAGATTTGGAAGTCAAATTTGATCACCACCTCACCCGTTTCTACTTCATACAGAGTGAGTTTTCGCACAACTGGCTCGTGAGTCTGTCTGGTCTCTCGACAGATATCGGATACTTTTATTTCTGTTCTCCCAAGAAATTCTGAAATAAAATGTGAATTAAATGATTAATACCATTCTAGACCTCACCTAGTTACTTTTTGAAAAGACATTCTTTTTACGCCTGGAGGCTTTTCCCAGTACCTTGTTTTTTAGATACAAAAACATGAGAAAAATCAGTATGTTCTGCTATGAACTATACAGAGGAATCCCGACTTTATGTTTTCTGTTGGACTAGCGTTGAATAATGCGCAATAGCGTAAAAAAAATATAGAATGTTTTTCAAAAATTCACACTTACGACATGTACTACTTGAAAAAAGTGTAATCTTTACATTGCTTTTAGATATGATTTCAACAATATTCATTATTGATTGCGAATTTTAAAGCTTTCAAACTCTTGATCAGTAGAAGGTATATCCCCGGACATTTTTTGCTCATTTTAACTATTTTCATCACTATCAACGGGAGCAGGCCTTAAATCAGGTATTGAAAAATTATGGGCTTTTTTGCAACACAATTTTATTTAGAAGGGTCAATATTCCTGTTGGCTACCAAGACGCAATCAACCCCAAGAAGCTTTATTAAACCCATTTGTAATGCATTTTAGTCGACACTGCCCAACGCTGTAGAAATCAAATTCAGAGAACATTTATTTTTGCTTTAGAACCATCATGTAGGTCACTGGAATCAAGAAAACGAAATGATTACCATACCAGTTGTTTTTTTAAATGATTAGATAATTCCAAGATTCAAATGCTGAAGTTTGCTGGAAAAAATTCCATTCTCAAATTTTACAATTTAAGCTTATACTTCCTTCCCTCGCTTTGTTCATTTCTGATATCAATTGAAGAGTTCCTTTGCATTCTCTTTCATAGAAAGAATGTTAGAAAAACCTCTTTCATAATAATGTGCGAAATTTGTAGATAATTTAACATGGAATCAGGATAATTTTTACTGACCAGCAGTAGGAAATGGGAAAATGTAAGAAACAGATAATGTCACTGTATACTAAAAACTAATTTTTATTTTTTACCAGAAGCTTAAATATTGCCGGGTAAAAGACAACAGTAATACAAGTTATTATAAAAAAGTAAGTAATAAATAAAATCATATGGATGGTTGACTGAATGTAAACAATAACAAGCTTTCTAAAACTGAAAGAAATTTAGAAAACATTTGGAGTATCCCTCCGCTTATGTTGTGCTTATGAGGTGAAGTGTGAATAGGCTAAATATTCTAGAAAGTTTTATGAGTGTGATTTGTGTTTAAATTACCTCCTGTAATTTATAAATTCGAACTGGTTGTGAGTTGAAAACAAACTTATGAAAATTAATATCAGAATATAAACAAAGTGCTAGGTTTGTCTATTATTTGGTTATATTTGTGCAAAATATCGTTGTTATTATCAAAATTTGTTGTTTTCTGGGTAGCAACTTGCAGTAAAAAACATGCTTGGGGAGTCTTCCAAATCCATTTATTGTTTACTTCATTAAAATAACATGTTATATTGTAAACACTGCAAGTATAATAATATTGGATGGCACGCTTTTACTAGCTTGCTGAAGGCAGTGATCATCAGTCCAATTACAGTGGTAGGTTAAGGCATTGTAGTATTAAGCATACTTTTGGCTGTTACATATACACTTCAATTTGAATATCTAGTAGGGATAATTATCTCAGAGTACGTTTAGGAAAAAATGATTCATTAAGTAAATATTAAACTGAATGTACTCACACTCAAAATTTAATGAAAAGTAGTCCTTTAATGATCAAAAAATTTCTTCTCTTCAAATCGAGAATTTCTGTTAAGATTGATATTCAACGGTTGGGACTGGGAGGCACAAAAAGGGCTCCCGATCCTATCGCCAATGATTTTAAATATAAAGTGAATGAATTGTTCCCAACGGACAGTTAGGAACATGGGAAGAGATCCATGGTTGGTGATTTATCAAAAGATAACATAGTAAAATATAAAGCCCCATAATCAATATTAAATTTGAAAATAATTCGGCGTAAGCGAATCGCCAAAAAGACTGTGAGAATTAGTATAACCCTGTAACTAACGTCTTTGTGATAAGAAATAAGGAGTTATAAATAGATTTTTGTTTTCGATTTAATCGAGACAGTGAATTAATGATTCTTACATTAAAATTGAAATAAAAAGTTAGCCGTTACATTGTTTGTGAAGAAAAAGATAAAAAATATTTTATATTCACTTTTTATAAATTGTAATAAAAATTAAATAATTGGTTTAATTTAATTAAAATTCGGTTAAGATTATAAAAAAAAAATAAGTTAAAGAAATTTTAAAAGCTTGGAAAAATGTAAAGCCTATTGTAGCATCACAAAGGTTTAGTGTAAAAATCAATCGGAAGTCTTAGGGCGAATTTTAATCTGTGCGTACGGTTCACTAAGACAGAAACAATAATAATTAAAATTATTTTTGAAACAAATGATGAAAGAACAGCAAAAATATGCTCACCATTTGGAGAAAACAAATCTCTATCGAATACGGATATGCAGAGGACATCTTCATTAAGATTCTTCACAAGAAACTGCATGGATGCATTCCACCTGGGATTTAATGTGTTTGGTATAACTTTTGTTTTCTGTTCCTGAGATCCCATGCTCACTTCACAATAAGGATTGCTTTGACCTTTGAAAAAGAACAGTATTTTATACTAATGATCGGATTTTCACTTGCCAGGTATCGATCTTAATGGTTCATGGGAGTGGTCTAAAATATGCTAATTAGTTAGTATAAGGGATGATATTTGAAGTTATGAAATTAGATACAGAAATGTACTTTCTCTGAATAAACATATCTGACCTCTACAATATGAGGAACAGCGAGTCATGGTGGATCAAGGGATAGAACGCTCACCTTTCAATGAGGTGAACCGGGTACGAATCTCGATGGCAGGTCGATACGATTTCGGTTCCTGGCTCGCACCGACCATAGTGCTGACGTAAAATATCCTCAGTGGTAGACGGGGGTAAAGAGTCCCATTGCCGTTATGATAACCGTGGGAGGTTTTCCTCTGCATATAACGCAAATGCGATATAGTTTCATCAAAAAAGTCCTCCCTGAAAGCAAATTTCTCCCAATATTTAATCCAGGAGTTCCCTAGTCTTCTGGATTGGGTTCAAAATTACAAGGCTAAGGAGTTGAACATAAGTTGTCATAAGCCCAAAATTGGGTCGGCTGTTCAACAAAAGTTATAAAATAAAGAAAAAAATATGAGGAACAGCGGCAATCTCGGAAATAAGATACCAATAGTTTGATCGAGATAACGGTCGAAAGTTTGGATCCCTTAACGCTATATTGACCTTTTGCGTATTTCTACATATCTCGAGAACTTTTTAAGCGAATTTAAAATTTTTGCACACAATTATAACATTTATTTATCCGAAGATAATTCAGTGCAAAAAAAAATTTTTTTAGTAATTATTTATTATAATTGTAATGTATACAAATTTTACATAAATTTAAAGTATGTAATTTTATAAGAAAAAATACAATATTTGTACAAAATCGGTCAAAAGAATTCTGAGAAATTGAATCTTAAATAGCTGATTTTTAAATAAAAAGTAATTAATAATTATTATTTTTTTCCATGGAATTATCTTTAGATAAACGATTGTTTTAATTGTGAGCAAAATCTTTTCAATTCACTTAAGAATGTCTTCAAATATACCAAATTATGCAAAAAGAAAAACTAACATTAAGGGGACCAAACTTTTGATTGCTCTCCTAACCTAACTATTGGGATCCTATTTCGCAGATTGCAGCTACGCTTTATATTGTGGGAGTCAAAAATCTGAACTCGTTGAAAAAAGGTATGTTTACTCAGAGAAAATACGTTTTTGTGTCTGATTTCATAACTTAAAATATCATCTGCGCAAATTAATTTGCAAATTTGAAATTCCACCTTTAAGATTGAGTCTTAGTACATGAAGATTCAATGATTTAGATCAAAAGTCATTCAGGGTGTTTTTTTTTGTGATCAAGATGCATAGAATTATAGTTCATGAATTCAGATATGAATTAATGTATGTACCATCAATTAATTAGCCAAATTAAATTAATGCGTAATTTGACTAAAATTATATTTTAAGATTGATAACTTACAAATCTATTAATCATTCAATGAATTTCATTATCCTTATTACAAATTAAAAAACTTAACTTAGGCTAAGCAAAATTGTCATCAAATTTATAAAAACATATTATATTTTATTTGCATCATACGTTTAAAGTAAATTCAAATAATTTATAATTTGCAATACAAGGCCATTCAGTTATTAATTATAAAATTTAAGCAAATATATTACTAATTTGTCAGAATATTATTACAATTGCTCTAATTGTTTAAAATGCAATATATATATTATTGAGGTGGGATGAACACCATTTATCTAATACTTAACACTTTAAATACTTAAATTTGAATAACAAACATAATATAGCGTCTAATTATTAAAGGGGATGAGCACACTGATACAAACGTTACATAAATATTATACATAGAATAAAATTTGCAATTTGATATTTAAAAATTTGTAAAAAATGAGTTGCCGATTTTCAACATATTCCATCGTTTGTGCAGAATCATCTCACACATTGATTCCATCAGATGCTATAAGTAAATGTCTGGTTTATTACTCATTATTTTGTCAATTTTGCTGTAGACAATGAAGCTATGTAATTATTGTTATGGGTAATTACAATTGCCAAAAGGGCAAATAATTACCCTGTTAAAAGTTGACTTATCTGAAAAGGAAATAGTTAACATGTCAATAAATGTAACATTTCGGGAAAAATCTGTTCAAAAAAACAACGTGTTATTTGAAGAATGTTATAAACCTGTAAGGAAACTGAATTGGAATGACTCACCATTTGAGCAAGCTTTCAAGTTTATGCCTTCCACAACTACCACTAAAAGACGACCCACTCCCTGGATTGCTTGAGATCTCACTGTAAGAGTTTATTTATTAAACAATATATATAATTCATTCAGTTTGGATAATTCAAACAGATATATATCACCTTACATGTTTTTTGATGGTTCAAATTTTTCTTTTCAATTTCACAAAAGTTATTAGCTGCAGATTCAATTTTTTTAATCCAAAGAGTTCTATAATATGAATAAGAAATAATGTTATAATTTTTTTAAATTAAAATTTTAAAACCTTCAAACAAATTTACAACATATCAAATATTTCTGAATTTTTATGTTTTTATTCTAAATTTTATTATATGTCCTTTAAAAATATTTCATTAATGATGTATTAAATTGCTTAAGAATGAGTGTTTAAAGTGGAAGTCATGAAACATATTTGAAATGAGATTGAATAAAGAAAATATAAATAACAATAGGATAGGTTAATGGAATTGTGAATAAAATGAATAGATAAACTTTTCTTTTTGAAGATAAAATAAATTCCAAATGATTGTAAAATAAAGTTCTAAAAAAATTAGCATGCTACATTTAATGCATTCAGTAATCAGGTATAAAATATACAGAAATAATTCACACAACACACTTCACAAAACCAATAACTGAAATATATTTATCATTTACCTATCAATAGTGTTCGAAGCTCTGAAATGTATACGATCTGTAATACATTCAGAGTAGCATACAAAGAATGTAGAATCATCTTGATTATTATCTGAATCTGTAGCTTTAACTGTGACATGATTTAAGAACAACGGCTGCAAACACAATAAAAATAAACAAAACATTAACAATCATTCATTCAATAAAATTATATAAATTTAAATAAAATTTCTTAAAACATATAAAATCTTTTCTAAAATTAAGAAATGTTTTAATAACTGTTAAATCATAGTATTTAAAAAAATACAATAGAGTACAAAATGACTATTACTAAGAATGAAACAAAAAAGAAACCAGTTTTTAAAATGTTTTAATTAAAAAACTATGTTCAATAGCGTGAAAATTGGATTGCACAATTCCTTTAGTTCCAAAGAATATAAGTGGATAAATGAAATTTTTTTATCCCTATCCAATGTCAGGCGATTGCAATATCAGCAGCCGAGAGCAAACTGGCGGTCCAATAAAAATTTTGTATTTTAAGTATTAAAGTTGACAGAAGTTAAAGCCATAAAAGAAAATGTATTTCTGTTCATCAGATAAAAAGTTTTTGAAAATAAATGGAGGAAAATAAAACAGCAGAAAAAATTCAAATATATTTATGTAACTTTATTTCTTTTTGTTAAGAAGCTTAAAGCATAATTCTAAAATTTCTGAAAACGGAAAGTTTTGTACTTTTCAGTTAGTCAGGGGTATGAAAAATATAACTATTTTTTGTAATTGAACACAAAACAAAATGGCCATCACCATCTGTTGCGAGTTCATTTATAAAAAGTTAAATAAATTCCTTCCTTCTATTGTATGGTATGGGGGTCATGGAAGTTAAGACTTCACAATTTTGTGACTAATGGTATGCTTGTTGGTGAACATTGCACACAATCCACCTTTTCTACTCAGGTAAGCTAGTACTTATTGATCTTAAGCTGGGCGGGTTTGAAGTCACCATTGAGGGTCAAACCTCAGTCTTTAACCACTAATCAACGGTTTATTGATAAAAAAGCTAAGTAAACCAAACGTGTTTTTGAGGTTTAAAATTGTGTACACGTATAAAGGTAATTTAATTTGAACAGTATATAGTATAAATAGATATATATATATATATATATTTTAATACAGGTAAAATATAATAACTAAATATTTAAAATAAATAAAATAACTACCTGTTTATACATTTTATATAACGAATTCATTGCCTTTTCTGATGTAAAAACATTCGTAATTTTTCCCAGTTCTTTAAAAGGCTGAGTTAAAAGCAAAAAATCATTGAATAGAAAAGCCATCAATTCTTTATTGCTCTTGGCCTAAATAAAAAGATACTTAATTAACCTACTTACAGCAGATATTAAATTTTTATAGGACTTAAAATTGAATATTTAACTTACTTTATATAGTATACCAACATGTAAGAGCTTTCTGGGACCCAAACTATTCGTTAAGGAGTTGAAGGTTATTTGCTAAATAAAAAATATTAAAAAATATCAAAAGCAGAATGAATAGTTTATTTAATACAATTTATTATAAATATAATTGTATAAGAAATATTGATTAGTTATTCTAAATATAAAGTTGAAATTTTTTACGAATTTAAAATATTGACATTGTTGAGTAACGAATTAAATAATTGTAGCAATTAGGTTACTAACAGATGACATGTATTTTCTCTAGTGCTTATTGAACTATTCATTCTTATTAACAAATGATTAGAGCATTTAATCTTAAAAGTAAAGTAGTTTCAAGTACTATTTTGAATTATTTCTGCTTTACACAACTGCATTAACATTTTAAAGTTCACACTAATCACGTGGCATTAAAAGGAGATTTTTGTATAGAAATATTATCAAAACAGTTTTCTTTTAAACAATTAGATCATGTAAAGTTTAATGCATACAATTTTACATAATCTAACATAATGTAAAAGATAATGAATAAAAACCAAGCAAGAAAAGGGTTTCTACTTATTTCATGAGCACAGTTTATTTATTTATTAAGTAATTAATTTATACAAATGAACATTTTTTTTGTTTCACTTTGTACATTGAAATGTACTTTACCGAACTTTATTAGTAAATTTAAATTTCAAAGTTATAAATAGTGTTAGAACATTTTCAAAGATTTTTGACACTTAAGTTTTAAAAAGACTTGTGGCATTGAAATTTAAACTTTTGCAACTAAATAGAATAGAAAACTTTTCAACTAATAATATAAAAAAAAAAATATTTAAATTCATTATTTCACAACAAAAACATTCATATAATCCTTCAATAGAGTACTAGGTTCAATAAAGGGCACATTCCAAAAAATAAAATGAATAAAAAATATTCAAATACATTAATTAGTTACTTAATAACAAATGCATCTTTCAATAGAGTACTAAGTTTCAGGAGAAACTAGATTCAATACAGCAGATCTCAATAAATAAAATTAATCAAAAATGTATTCCATCAGTCAACTATCAAATACAGAATTATCACACCTTCATAAAACATGGAGAAAATAAAATCTTTTCTCTTTTAAAGGTGTCTTTAATTCATTTATGAATCATGGAAGATTTATGAATAAAACTGGTGTATACAAATATATTAAAATAATTCTTACCTCTGGCAAACCATCACACAGAACATGATTCTGTATCCATTCCAAACGATCTGAATTTTCCCTCTCCCTCACACCTTCATTCACTTGATTACACAACTGTTGAGCTTGATTTAAAGCTTCTTTTAAATGAGCATAATCAGGGTGACCTTCAGGTGTATATTCTATAATCTGAAAACAAATATATTTGAAAAAAAAATCATATTATTTAATAACAGAATGCCACAATAGCTTTTAATCTAATGTTTAAAAGACACTTAAACATTTTGAGGGTTAAGAATCTGAATTTGAAGGAAACAATCTGTTTATTCAGAGAAATTTATTTTTTTGCCTGTTTTTGTTATTTAACTATCTTTTGCGCAAATTAATTTGCATATTTAAGGACAAAATATTAAGAATGCATCATAGTATGTGACAATCCAATAAGTGAAAGAGTTCTGCTTTTTGTCGAGTGCACTGTACATAAAAAAAAGTTCACGCTAAGCTGAAAGATAATTTAACAACAGTTTAAGTCTTAGCTGTTAAAGCAACATTTATCTTTGCATAACGGTGAAAACATACTTTTACAGCAAGATGACAGAATTTTTTTTCACAATTAACTTCAAATAGATCTAAATGTAGTGAAAAACACAAATACTGAGAGTGCAGTATAATTCTGATGGTATTAAAAAGCACAAGTGAAAATGTTTAAATATTTTGTGCTTAATTCTTTGAAATTAAGTTAAATTTATAATCTAGTATAAATTAACATTTTAATTACAACATATAATGCATCTATAAACAATTGGCCATTTTCAATTCAATGAAATCCAGTATGCAATATTATAATATTATATTAACTAGAAATGTGTAAAATTAAATCTTACACAATTTTTTTATTGTTACTAAAATGAGCATAATGCAAACTAACCAATAATACACACCTTTTGTATTAAAAGAGGATATTTAGTGATTCTTTGCATAGGCTTCAATAAGAAGCTACTTAATGGCATTCCTTTCGTGCGAGGATCTGTACAACAGTGCTGAAATTTAAACAAATCTATGAATAAAGGGCATATAGAAAAGATAGTATTAAATCAAATAGAAAAAAAAGAAGCATGTTCAAAAATATCACAAATCTAGACTATTTGATAAAATATACCTTTGAAAGGAAATAAAGTGATTTTAAAATTAAGATCTCAAATTTAGTGGCTTCTGGAACGATTAAAACTCATGAGAATCAATAAATAATTACAAAATCTTTAAAAATCATTAGCTTAAATTCAGTAATAAGAAATTACAATATTTTAATTAAAGCTTGATTAATAAATAGCAAATATGGCAAAGAAATAAATAACTAAACAAAACTAATAAAGATATAAATGACCATTCAAGATAAATCAATGGAATATATTTTTTGCTAATTTACTTACATGAAACGGCACATCTAATTTAAATTAGTTTTTGTTTACATAAAAATAAGCATTTTCCAGTTTATACAGTACTTTTCTTAAAACTTTGTTAGTCAATAGTTTTCCATATTATTTTAATAGATTTTTGAAGTTCAACATTTATTGCATGAAAATTATGGACATTTTTATCATAGTATTTTATTTAAAAATTTGTAAAATCTTCTCTTTTAAATCCAAACAATTTTTTTTAATGGAAATGAGATACAAATAGATAATCATAAGCCATGAAAGTGAGTATAATGAAGAGTTAATTATGCATTTTTTAAATAATAATTTAGTTCTTTTCCTATGGGACTAATAAAAGTTATAGTATTTTAACACATATGAAATTAAACAGGCTAAAAATATAATATATATTAGAATTACATAAACCATGCTAAGTAGAAAAGAATAAAAATAATTAAACTAATCAAGAAATTTTGATCTACTAAAATGAGCATATTCTAGATAGATTAACAGCAAAAGAGCCAAAAGCAGCTATATTGAGAGAAACATGTTTTGCATCAAGTGCAACAAAATCAAGTGGTGCTCCTAATTAAGTCTAACATAAAAACAATAAGCATACAAATAACAGGAGTGAAAAGATTACTAGATTGACTCAACATGCAGTTAAAATTGAACATTAATATTAGTAAAAATGCATATAATATCATATCAAAGCAATTAAGGAAAAAATATATTAATAAGACACATTATAGATATAGCTATATTTATTCATTAGAGAAATATAAGAGAACATAAAGAATGTATATAATAAGACTAAAATATAACTAAAGTTATATTCACTAAAAAACAGTCAAACATACTAAGCAATGATTTTATTTTATTTTGTAACCGTTTTTAAATAGCCGGCCGAATTTTGGGTTTGCGAGTATCAATGTTTAACTAAGTAGCCTTGTAAATTTGAACCCAATCCAGAAGACAAGGGAACTCTTGGACCAAGCAGTGAGAGGAATTTTGCCTTCGTAGAGGACTTTCGGATGGGAATAACCCGTATTTGTGTTACACGGACAAGAAAACCTCCAATGGTTAGCTTGACGGTAAGGGGACTCTAACCCATGATCTTCTTCCACCGAGGATATTTTACGTCCGCACTGTAATCAGTGTACAATTTGCAGTGACTAGCCATTCATGGGATTCGAAATCGGTTCACCCCATAGGGAGGCGAGCTAAGCAATGATTGTAATTTTTACTATAGCATTAAATCAGACTAAAAAATGAATAACTATAAGAGACTATAAAAATAATTTATGTGATTTTCATTATAGCAGTTAAATAGCAACAACATTTACTACAAACTTACTTTGGTCACTTCTTTAAATCTTGGGTTAGTTTCAGATTTATTTTGAATGAGAGCAGCAGCATTTAACTGGCAACTGCAAAATCTGATGTAAGGAGTGAAGTGCGGCAGCTAAAAATAAAGTATGTATATATATAGAAGTATATTATAGAAATATATAACTATATATTTCCGAATATAAGCCCATCTATGTATAAGCCTACGAGTATGTTTTTTATAAGGAAATTCAGCCAAAATTCAAAACTCAAATATAAGCCGAAGAAAAAAAAAGTATGCTACGCTTGGAAATAAAAATGCACCCCCTATCTAGAAATAACAGTTGCACAATGGGTAAAAGAAGCATGGACCTTCTGAATTTGTAAAGAGAAGATTAAAAAAATAATAGTATTCCTCTCAAACAGTCCTTTTCATGTGTTTCTTTTTCAATTTTTATACTTAGACATTCCATTTCCAACTATTATTTCAAGTATTTTTATGTTTTGTATGTACGTTTTGCGATATTTCCTGATTATTGCTAATGCTCGACAAAGCTAGATGTATTTCCTTTGGAATCTAGAATCTTCTAGAAGTAAGTTTTACTGAAATATTTAAAAGTTAGGGAATCGGATTATAAGTAGACCTTTCCAATCTTGTCTAAAAATTCACGACTTATATTCGGAAATACAAGGTTTATTTTAACTCTAGGCAAATTTTAAAGTTTATTGAAGTTTTCTGCATACATTTTCACATAACAAATCTCCAATTTTCTGAATGATGTTATCAGGGCTCATCCGTCGCCTCACTCTTAAAGCTCTGGAAAAAATAATGCATATTTTAATAATTTTATTTAAGAAAACATTTTTTTTCAGTCCACCTAAATAATTGAACAATTATAGAAAAATAAAATTCATAATTTATGGGAGAAAAGTAAGAATTTACACACACCTTAAAAGCTTTGTATTGCAGACAATCAGCTCTTTCCAGTTAACAAATATTGATCGAAGTTCTTCTTTATTCAATACTTGAGATTCTCGTAATGGTTTTTGAAAAGCCTGGAAATTTTTTTCATACATAATTAGAACATGAATGATTAAAATGAATATGATTTTTAAACAGAAATGTTTTAATAAAATATTTAGAGTGTACCCAGTTCTAAGTGGCAATAACAAGGGTCTAAGCAGCGAAGGCCCTTTTTTGAAAAATTAGCAATTGAAATGCAAAGCAAGGAGACCATTTTTAAAAAATGACATCAGTAGAAACTCTTTAAAAAACAGCAATTGTTGTTTCTAATGCCACTAATCAACCAATAAACCTGCTTGGTAAAATCACATGGATTGAAGGAGCGTTTTTGTTCTTCAGTGGCGCCATTTATGACAAAGAATTTGACTTCAGCTACACACAAACCGTTTATATGGCAGACCCATTTATTCATCCACAGATCGTTATTTGACCTCAGCCAGAGAATGATTCATCTCCAATCCCAAGAGGTACTGATTTGTTATAGGAACATGGAGGACTTTGTGACCCAACATATTTAACATGCACCAGTTGCCGAATACTATACAAACCAAAAAACAAATTTCAATTTTGCAGAAGAATTAAGTGTATAAAAATGTCTCGTTAATTTTATTTAGCGAAAGTTTCAAAATTAAAATTTTAAATTGCAGAGCCTTTAAATCTTACTTTAAATTTCAGATTGATGTGAACATTTTATCGGATTATTAGTTTCGATTCACGGAAGTTAGCGAATCAATAATCCTGCAATAAGCAGAATTCTGTGAAAAAATGACATGCCTTGCTCCTAGCTTTTAAACCTGGAGGGAGGATATGAAAAACCGTTTTTCTTGGTCTGCTCTAATAAATGTGTAAATAAACCAGATTTTACATGCCAAGAATAAGATCAAACTTCACATTGTTGATTCATAACAAAATGAAAAAGAAAAGAATGGATATGATTAAGGCAACAACTTGGTTGTAATTCCACATAAAAAAGTGTTTTTCACATTACAGTCAGACATCGATATAAGGTCATCTGCATATAAGGTCACTTTTCCAAAGTCCCGGCTCGCTGAATAGAAATTCTTTGTTACAGATTATTGGATATATGGTCAAGCTTTAAAAATCGTTATCGCTTATAAGGTCATTTTTATCTGAGGCTTTGAACAAAATCCTATTCAACTTTCTTACAAGGCAATTATCCCTCTCGAGTTCTAGGAAAATGTGGCAACCAATGAACAAGCTACAATTTCTGAAATTGTTTCACAAGTTGTGGACAGTGATTACAATGACAGTGATCCTGAGACTGTAGCTGCAACCCAAGTGGAAGCCTTCAATGCTATAAATGTCATATGAAATTTTTTTACAAACCATGAGGGAGCTGAGGAACATTTCGAGAAGTTACAAAATCTAGAAAACATTTTTCAAAAAATGAAACCAAAAACGAGACAGACCTGCATAAATGATTATTTTAAATAAGGTAAGATTTAATGTAGGTATGTACACTTTGAGGAAATTTGTAAACAGCTTAATTTTAAATTAAAAATTTTTCTAAAAATCTAACTTTCGTTAATTCTTTACTAATTCTGTTAAAATTTATTGACTTAAATATTTAATTTATGGTCGATCGTTTTCATTTGTATTACTATTTTTAAAAAGTTTTAATGTGTACTATTTACGTGCTTAGTTACGAACTGCTAATGAATCGGTTAAAAGGTCACCCCGCTTATAAGGTCACTTTTGCAATGTCCCTTAGAGTGACCTTATATCGAGGTCTGACTGTATTTATAAATTCTATTGATGCTACTATGACACTTTTTGTAAATTCGAAAATGAGGCATAAAAAGCTTTTTTGTGGATTTCAGGCACAAAGTTATCCTTTGCAAACATTTTTGGCCGTTTAAGAGAAAACTTTATTGCTTGTCGTCGAAAGATAAAATCAATCTAGCTTCAAAATACATTAAAACAGAGTTTTAAATATGAAAGGCTATGTAATAAACCAATTATATTCCAATAAGTGCATATTTGTAGAGCGGCAATGAATTGGAACCCTTGTTCCAAATTTATTGCAAGTTTAAAAATGACACTATTTTGGGACAACTAAGTTCTTCTAATAATGTGGCAGGAGTTCCAAGACAACTGCCAATTAGTAAGCATACATGGGAACGTTACTTTAAAAAAGTACTTCAAACAAAAGTAATGCGTAAGAAGTACAGATAAAAAAAGTAACATGTTTTAAAGTACATTTCGAGGAAATAAAAAAATTCTAAGTAACTTTACACTTCATTAAAAAGTGAAAGAAAAAAAAAATCATTTTAATTTAAAATGCATTAAATTTTAATTAAAATGTTTAATTACTTTAAAATGCATGAAAATATTACAAAATGTGTTAAGATAGTGTATGTTCCAAATATCCAGAAGCAAAACCAGAAATCAAAATTCAGTGTTAGCATATATATAAAAAAGTTTTAATAATTTTAAAACTACCAATCTTTAGAAATTTTGTTTTTACTTTCGGAATTTGTAGTAATAAATTAATGTGTTGAACAAATTCAATTATAATATTATATTTTTACATAAATATAATATTTTTTGTGAGAAAAAATGAGTAAAAAAATTATTCATATACAAGTAACCCCTTGAAATCCATTAAATTAAAAATGATACTTCATTTTTAAAAAAGTTAAAAAAAATTAATTTTTGAATTTTAAATAATGACGATTTTCTTAATTTGCGTTATAGATATTCAGTATTGAATTCACTCAAAAACAAAAATTGAGAAGTTTCATTTTAAAATTTATTCTTATGACGAACTAAATGTTTATGTGGTGAAATTCAAAAAAGAAGAAAATATTATTTCAAAATTTTTTATTTTGACACAATATTATCAAAGAAATAATAAAAATCTAGATTTTTTTACCGCTTATTATATTTTAATTGGATTGGTCTTATAATAAGATAAGACTTAATAGTTCGATGATTACTAGCATTTATATTTATAATAATTTTAATTGATAAATTTTAAATAACACAGCGATTAAATTATATGTATAAATCAATAAGTCTTAAATATATTAAATTAGGGGTGCACAACCTGCGGCCCGCGGGCCAAATGCGGCCCGCCAACCCTCAATGTGCGGCCCGCTACCGCAATCTGAACAAAATGAAAAAAAATAATTAAATTTTTTTTTAAATAAAAAAAAATTCAGAAATTTGAAATTTACGCATTTAAGTTTTTGATGCACCCAATTTCACTCAATGTAGTTTTCGATCGCTTTTTTTTCGATGGTTACCTCTACAGATTTAGGCATAGTTTTGAAAATACCATTATTTTGAACACATCATTATTACGATATACAAATTTCTAATTTTAGTTATTACTTTTGACTCTCTTCGAGTGCTCCGATTTTATCGTAAATTCAATGACTTTCCGATAGTTATTGCTGCCCATTTTCACGTATTTTCTGAAATCGCGATTTTTAAAAAGTTTTGAAACGCTTTATTTGTGCAAACTTCATGAAAAATCTAATCTTTTTCGGCAGTTGTTGCTACGCATTTCCGCATGGTTTTAAAAATTTTGATATTTTGGCACGATATTATTACGAATCGCTCATTTAGATAACCATTTTCTGACGTGGTTTATTTGTGCCAATTTTATTGCAAATCAAATTATTTTTCAATCGTTATTTTGGCAATTATTGTTACACATCTCTACAAGGTTTTGAAAGTCCGATATTTTTTATACGCTATTTTGATACTTTAATTTCGCATTTAAATACATAAAATTTTGACGCGTTTCATTTACACCAATTTCACCGCAAATATAAGGTATTTTGATAATTTCCTTTGTAGTTATTACTACGCTTTTTACCCGTGATTTAAAAAAAATTGACATTTTTCATATAATTTGACAACACGCGAATTTTGAATCGCGCATTAAAATAATTACTTTTTATGTGCTGTATTTGTGTCGATTTTTACATAAATATAAGAGGTTTTTCGAACGTCTTTTTACTTGTAATTTAGAATATCCTGATATTTTAGCACAATATTACAACTCTTAAAATTCGATACTGTTTTAATTTTTTTTTTGGAACTTAAAAAGTAATTACGTATTTTAGCAAAATCGATACCTTCCTAAAAAGAATAAAAATGAAAAATAAAAACAAGTTGAGTACATTTATATTAAACGCGTTCCTCTTTGCTAAAAAATAATTCAAAACACGTGTATATTTCTTTAGTCCCATGAACAAGTGCAAGTTAACATCACACACTCAACCTATTCTTTTTGTTGTTACATGATTATTTTGATTCGTATTTATACGTTTTAAAAATCATACGTTTTAATTCTTCGCGTAATTTAAAATTCACACATCGTAATTCGTATTTACGCGATCTTAAAATTGCGCAGCGCATTTCGTATTAAAAATAACGAGATTTAAAAATCATCCATCGCGAATCATATTCATGCGATTTAAAAACCATATATCGCGATTCATATTCACACATTTTAAAAATCATGCGCTGTGAGTAGTCTTTTCGCAATTTAAAATTGTACATCTCAATTCGTATTCACGCAATTTGAAAATCACACATTGCGTTTTATATTTGCGCAATTTAAAAAGCACACATAACAATTAGTATTTAGGCAATTATAAAATAACACATCGCTATTTGTATTCACGTGATTTAAAAATATGGAAATGAAGAACACCATCTAGGACAAATTCCAAAAGTGATTAAGTTTTTTGCCCTAATTTAATACTACCCACAACAACAGCTTCTGTCATAAGACTGTTTTCCAGAATAAATTTGGCCTGTTCAAAATTACAGAGCAGTCTTTTAACAAATTCATTTAATGGCTCGAAAAAGCATGATCAAGTGAATCACATGATCAAGTGAATAAAATTATCCCAATATTTAAAAATTTTGCAAATTACAGGATAACCATTAAGAAAATTTTTTAACCATTTTCTTATGCTATACTTCCACCATTTCATATCATTCATGATTGTACGCTGGGAAATGATTTGTATATCATTAAATTTTAACAGTAAAAAATATAATCAAAATAAGTTTCGTTAAGTAATGTAAATGTTACTAATTGTTTATGCATATGTGTATTAATTGTAAATAGAAAGTGTCATGTTAAAAAAATATTCGCCATAAAAAATTTTAAACAAGTATCTTAATAGTTTTTTATTATTAAGGAAAATAGTTTATTCAAGATTAATGCTTTCTTTCTTTCTTCCCTCTCTCTGCCCCTGCTTCCTATCATTAATTTAAAATAAATGTTTTAAAGTTTAAGTATATTCCCCTTCTAAATGCTAAATCTTATTTTCCGCAGATGGGGTTTTGTTTCAATTTTTATCATTTTTAACCCTATAAACTTTCTTTAAATCAAAGTATTTAACTTGTATTTATTTTAATAACTAGAACATTTTTTTAAAATTTATTTCTATGAACAAATTTTTTAAAGTTAAAATTTATGTTAAAATGGACTTATGTATTATGTAATATGACTTTTAAAAAACATGTATTTTCCCATAGTTTTTTAATTATTTCAATTTATCTAAATTTTCTTCTGATTAACTGATTCTGTTTTTTCTTAGAAGGCTCAGTTTTTTCTTAGTTTAGAAGTTTTTAACTTTAAACATTTAAAAGTATTTAATTTTATGCTAAGATATTACAAGGTTAACTTAGAAAAAGAATTTAGTGGTTAGAACAATGTTTTTATAACAATTACTACCTAAAATTGCTATGAATATGTTTGTCTAAATACTTTGGGTGTTCCCTTTGGCATGCGGCCCTTCATTAGTCAATCTGCTGCACATGTGGCCCTTCCCTCAAAAAGGTTGTGCACCCCTATATTAAATAATCTTATTTTAAATATTAAATACAAATAAATTTTTGATTTAATTAAATTAGATTAATTTTATAAATGCATATAAATTTAATAAGCCTCTGATTTTAATGAAGGGGTGGCAACATACATGAAAAATACAAGAAATGAGGGCTACTTAAAATTTAAAAGTGAAAAGAAATGTAAAGGAAAGGGTAAGCTTTTAAGATGAATATTTATTTCGATTCAAACAAAAATGACGCTAGGTGAAATGGGGAAATATTTTCAATAAATGTAATTTTTTCCTGATAGAATATGAAAATAGTCCAGAAAGCATTGCTTCATTCACCAAAGACAATTTAACATATAATGCTGTACATGTACTTTCATTTTAATAATAAATCAATGATACCCTTCTATAAAATTTATTCTCAAAATGTTTTAATTTACAAATAAAATAATAAATCTTTATTTCTACAAGCATCTTTAAAAACAAATATATTATTACCCATGATCACCCACCATCTAAAACTGATAAGTTAATGAATATCACTTAACAGTGAGAATGGATTATATGAAATCATTTTGATAAAATATTTCAATACTAAAAGTCTGAATATTTTTGTTAAGTTTAAAAAAAAAAATTTGTTAGTATTATGTATTAAGTATGTGTTAGTATTATGTATGTGTTAGTATTTGAAAAGAACCATATTAATACATCAATAGACTCAAGGTTAAAATTTTATCACCAATTGTTAGCTCAATATTCGGTAGTCTACTAAAATACTGTGCCTCAGATATCACCGTTACCAGACAGCCATGGATAAAAATGAGTGACTCATTTGTAAAGTCACATGTGACTTCTGTGATGTCGATGCGTTGGTCAAAAAAGATTCCATGTCCGCCTTCGGTGACGTCACTTTTTGACATTAACTTAACATGAAACCACATTGCGACATTTAGTTGTCCAGAGACCTCACCATGTGATCACATGTCAACAGGGTCACTGAGGGATGAAGTGATAAATTCAGGTCTCAACTAGGTCATCGAAAGACGAAGATGTGACAAATTCATGTCTCAACTGGGTCATCATGTGATCAAGATGTGACTTATTCACGTCTCAACAGAGTCACAATTTGAAGAAATTGTGGCATTTACGTCTCAATAGGGTCACCGTGTGACTAAGCTGATACACGAATGTCCCATTCTCACGACACGATGACGTCACTGCGACAGTTATAAGTATTATTGTGGCCTCTTTTGACGTTTGGAATGTGACGTTCTTAAAGGGGGACATAATAACTTTCAAAAATCTAAGTATAGACGTCGCAATCTAGTAACCGTGTGCTATCAGGGAACAAATTAAAAATTATGAGATGATGAAAATTTTAAATTTCTGATTAACAATTTTTAAGAAAAAGAATCCATGGAAAGTTTCCCCCAAGAAGAAATTTGATTCCAAAATTCAGACAAAGGACCCAGTGTAGATCCCCACAGACCATGAAAGAGAAAATTAGAAGCTTAGAAATGAGTCCGTCAACACTTTTCCTGAAGCTGTGGCATAACTAACTACCACTACAAATATTAAATGCCAAATCGCCAGTATATAAGACATGTTAACTCGATTCCATTTAGAGGTACATTTTGGTAGATGAAGGTTGACAGTTTATAAATTAATTCCCCACAAAGCAATAAAGATAGGATTGTGCGTCATTTTAGTTCAAAGTATTTTTTCCCATCGGTTAAAAAAAGGGTCGTATATCACGCTGGAATGATTTTTTAGCTGTTTCCGCTAAAGCTCTCTCGAAATAGAGACTTTTAAATTTTTTCTTTTTAACCATGAACAGGTTTTATCTGATTATTTTGTTTCCAATTGAAACAAAATAGATCAAGCAGGTTTTATTTTGATGTGATCTTTGACCTCTTTGCAGCCCCAATGTGGTCAGACGCAAGAAAAGAAAAAAAAAATTATTTTTTTGCTTCGTGACGAGTAAACGATGTAAAAAGGGGGGAACAATAAGAGAATTAATTAAAAATTTTTAGAAAAAGTAACGATTTTTTGGACACTTTCGTTTCAAATAATTGCACTAATTTAAAAAAAAACAAACAAACAAAAAAAACAAATTACAAGTAAAGAAGTACATGTAAAAGCATTCCCATGTATGATTGAAAGGCCCACCCTAAATAGGTAGGGTGACAGTGGGATTAACCAAATGGACTGGTCAATCCAGATTCCTCTTGGTTTTCGATCACTGAATGAAGAGGTGAAACAACTGTTCAAAGTCAGGGAAGGAACTTCATCTCCTAGACAAATGCAAGAAATACAATATGGAACAATTATGGAAGATGTACCTGTCATACAATTATGGAAGATGTACCTTGGAAGTGTGAGGCAGTAAGTGCCTCTCATGGAGTCTCTACCCAATAGAAATGGACTCAATGTTGCTCATAGGAGTCCAAATACTTGTTGATAGATATTCATTGTTCCCTCTCATTCTTAATGACAAGTAAATTTGAACGATCTTTTGTAGCACCAGTACTTTTCCCCACTGATGTTGCACAAATAAATGACTTCATCATAAAAAAAAAATTATGTTTCTTTTCACTATAAATTATTGTTCTATAGGTTAATAACCTAAATGAGTTAAATCATACTTCCTAAAGCTTATAAGAAAATTAGAATAGATTTAAAAAAGTCTCATATCATAAGTAAATTTCTACTTACATCTAAAACTATTGACATATNTTATTTTTTTTTTGCTTCGTGACGAGTAAACGATGTAAAAAGGGGGGAACAATAAGAGAATTAATTAAAATTTTTTAGAAAAAGTAACGATTTTCTTCGACACTTTCGTTTCAAATACTTGCACTAATTAAAAAAAAAATAATTAAAAGTAACGAAGTACGTGTAAAAGTATTCCCATGTATGATTGAAAGGCCTACCCTAAATAGATAGGGTGACAGTAGGATTAACCCAATGGACTGGTCAACCCAGATTCCTCTTGGATTTCGATCACAGAATGAAAAGGTGAAACAACTGTTCAAAGTCAGGGAAGGAACTTCATCTCCAAGACAAATGCAAGAAATAGTACTAACTGTTATACAATTATGGAAGATGTACCCTGGAAGTGTGAGGCAGTTAAGTGCCTCTCATGGAGCTCTACCCAATAGAAATGAACTCAATGTTGCTTATAGGAGTCCAAATACTTGTTGATAGATAGTGATGCTTGTTGTTCCCTCTCATTCTTAATGACAAGTAAATTTGAACGAACTTTTGTAGCACCAGTACTTTTCCCCACTGATGTTGCACAAATAAATGACTTAATCATAAAAAAAAAAAAAAATTCTGTTTCTTTTTACTATAAATTATTGCTCTATAGGTTAATGATCTAAATGAATTAAATCATACTTCCTAAAGCTTATAAGCAGATTAGAATAGATTTAAAAAAAGTCTCATATCATAAGTAAATTTCTACTTACATCTAAAACTATTGACATATCATCCATATAAGATTCTTCAGTGGATATAAGTTCATTTATATGGCATTGGCGTTTCTTTTCTTTAGGTGACAATGACTCAAATGCTGCATTATTTAGAAAATCGTCTGAAGCTACGAAAACAGTCACTTTCAAATCACAACTAATATTGTTTTTAATATCAACATAAGCAATAAAATAAAAATGAATGACGCACTATGAGTCACTAATTTAAATATCATCTATATCTAGACAAAACATATTATCTCAGGCTGTATAACTATTATGTCAAAAACATATTTTTGTTTATATACATAAAATATTCTGTTTAGTAAAGGGTTTAATTTCAGATTAAATAGTTTTGTGTTTTTCTCACTACAAATGAATGGAAGCGTTTTTATTTAAAGTAATTCATGATACCTGCCACACAGATTCCTCAGATCTGTGTAGTTATAACTGAAACAATAGGTTTTTATTTCATTTTATAAAGAGAAAAGGTTGATGTTTCCCTACATGCATTTAATAAATAAATTAAAAACCATTAAGCTGTGACAGAGTTTTATAAAAATTTAAAATACAAAAGTTTTTTCACATTGCTGATAAGTTACATCTTTTGAAAAATTACTCACAAATAAAGGTCTTATTTAAGAATTTGGCATATAATGACATATAATTTTTTTGATTGGTAAGGGAAATTTTAAGATCAAAAGAATTAACACATTAAATGGGAATCCTATATTATGTAACCATAAATTAAAAAAAAAATAAAATCTGATTAAATAAAAAAAAAAGAGAGAAGGTAAGTATGAAGAAAAACAGGAGAGTTTTAATGCTTATTGATTTAGTTATTCCTAAACTGAAAAAAAAGTATCTCCTTATCAATTCTTGATATAAGTGTGGTATACTAAATATTTGTACTAAAATATAAAATCCATAACACATAGATTAATTTTTTTTTTACAAAAATTTATTAATAATTGATTTTATAAATTAAAGAAATTTCAATGATGAATTACTGTCTCTCTTAGATCTACAAATTTGAAAAATTATTCCTTAGAAGTGTGTTGCCCCCTTTGGAAGATTTTACCAATAAGGAAGAAAGTGTCCCATCCTATATTTCATAACTATAAATTATTAAAATGATAAATATAATATTTATCACTTACTTTGATCTAAATTAATAAAAAATAAAGGAAAGGTCTGAAAATTATATTTAGTGAAAATTCTGCAACAAAGAATATCTTTGAAGATGCTAGATTAAGAAACTACTTTTTAGGATTGAAAAATTAAAAAACTATTAGGATTAAAAATAATACATACTTTTAGATCCATGGAAATGGTAGTTATGTTTCCGTCAAAATGTAGCATGTGAATAATTTTTGTTAGCATTGATTTGCCTTGCCTGAATTAATTATGATTTTTTTTCTTCATACAATGTTATGCTCTACGAATTCCTAACCTGTTTTTATGCATGCGAAAATTTATATAAAAAGAAAAGCATATATACCACATATACAGTATTGAGTCTTTTGATCAAATCATCTGAAAATGTTGTACAGTCCTTCAGCACCCCCCCCCCNCCTTCAGCTCGACCCTTCCCCCCATCTTAACGACTGCTACTTGAAGTACTGTTTGCTGCTCTATAAATGCAATATTTTTGTAACACCCAAAGGAATTGTTCATTCCAATTATAATTTTTCCCAAAAAATCACTCCAAAAACAGGCATTTTTGCACTTTCAAAACAAGTTAATAACATAAGTCACAAGAATATTATTCAAATCATTAATTCTTTTGATGTTACTGATCAATAAGCATGAAACATCTTGAATTTTCTTTCAATGAAGAAAGACAACATCTAATTTTCAACTAAGAGGGCATAATCCATGGTAAAAAAAAACCTGTTCATTACCTACCATTATTGAGAATTTAAAGTTTACATTACACGATTATGCAGAAATAAAAGTTTTTTGTACAATCATAACCTTTCAAAATTTATTCCAAAGGGTTCCGTGTATTCATTTATCACATTTTTCTTGTTTGAATATTGTATTAACTTGTTCGGAGGTAAAACAAGTGGTATTATTATCCACATTCTTCCTGATTTTAATTTTGTTCAGATACCTGGACGTATGTTATGTAGAAAAAATGGCTGCTAATAACTAGTGCAATGCCATATGCTCAGAGCGGAAATTATAAATTTTAAAGCAAATGGATATAAGAATAACATCAAAATCACAAATTGTTAAATTAATTCGAGATCCCGAAAAGCACTTTGTTTACAATAATTAAAAACAGAAGTCTAAAAATAGAAGAACAAAGTGTTCTAAAGTTGTTCCTGTGTAGCAAAAATTTAAAATCTAGAAAAAGCATTGAAGGTCTGGTTGTAGTTTGTGCACACTATTAAAAGAAGTCATTTGAAAAGATTTAAATGCATTTTTATTCACTATATAAAATAATACTTGTACATTGTTGACTTTAAAAAAAAACTGTATTTGTCAGTTTCATAATTCTATTTTAAGTGTAGCATATTTTTGCAACAAGTAAATATTTGCGCTAATTTTATGTACTTATGATACAGAAATCTAAAATGTCCGTTTTTTATTGGACCACAGGAATTGTTATATTGAGCGTCAACCGTAATTTATTTACTGAAGATCAAAAGATGTCATTGAAATCAAACTCAGCCATTTTGCAGATAAAACTTGCACCTAACAAGCAAAACTTATTTTTAATATATACATAGTTTACTAAAATATAACAAATTAATGCCAAATACAAAATAAATATTATAATATTAAAAACTAAGATTCTAGATTATTTATTGAATATTTGATATTTTAAAAATGTTTATCAAGGGTTATCGTTGAATTAATTGAATAAATTTAAAATGTAGGCATGAAAAATTAAATTGATCCATTATGCACAATAAGGTGAATACACAAAAGAGACTGGTTATAAACAAAAAAATTTTAAGCTTCAGAATTCACGAAGTGTATTGTCTAAATTATAACATAAAATTCTGAAGATTTAATCAAAAGCCATTTTCATTTGGGGTTTGAGTGACATTTAGATTAAAAACTACACTTTTTATACTTTAAGATGAAATTTTAAAGAAACTACAAGACCATTAATTATACATGTTTTTATTTTCTAAGTACCAATGCTTCCTCTTTCACACAACTACATAATACATATTTTTATTTTGAAACAATAAAAATGCATTACCATACAAAAATTTACATAAATGTTTTCTATGACCCATTAGTCATCAAGAATAAGTCACCCAGGAATAGATTTGAGGAAAAAAAAAACTTCAACTTAAGAGTTTTGCAAACAACTAATACAATTAAAATTTTAAACAAAATGAAGAAAAGAAAAAGAGATGCAGAATAGACATATGACAGATTATACATTAATATAAATATCTTGTTTAATAAACACCAAAAGTTATAAATTAGTTTAAAATAGCATATCTAATAAAAAAAAAAAAATAAGTCAAAATTTACTAACATAATTTATTCTTTCCAGATATAAAATAAATATTATAATACTATATTCAATGCCACAAAATAATGTGTTGATCACATAGAATGTGCCAGAATCTCAAATTTAATTCTCAAAAATACCTCTATAACATAAATTGTACACTTTTTTTCTTCTAATGAACAGATATTTACACATTCATAATGAGGATAATTTTATCTTTTTAGGATATAATAAAAAGTACAATCAACAAGGCAGAGGTTATTTAACCATAACTATGTAAATTAGAAAAGATCGATGGGTTACTGAATTGACAAGAATTTATTCACTAGGTAGTAATATTTGTATTTTTAGCAATGATAAAATGATGATAAGCTGTTAGACCACACATTCTGTTATTCGAAGCAAAATGAACACAAAGGGATATTTCTTTTTATATATTTTGGATCTAAAACCAAGCAGTCTGTTCATTCCATTATTGAAAGAGAGAAATAATAGAGGGACTGATTGCAAAACACCATTTCTTCTCAAATATCATGGATCTGGAAGCAATAACAAAAGGATGACAGTCCATTTATTCTATTGCCAAAAGTGAATCATAAAGAGGGACTTCTTCTTATTATGCTAATCAGCAGCATTTGAAACCATTAACAAAGCTCAGAAAGACAATAAAATGGAATCTCTCCATATAAGATATATCATGGAGTCATATTCAACATTAAAACACTCTTAGCCAAAGCAATGAAAAAAACTTCTGCAAAAATTCTAATGCAAAGTTCTGAGACACCAACACTATAGATCAGATGCGTCCTCATGTGATATCTTCATTTTCAAAGGGCTCAAAAAAGTACTGAGGAGAAATCCATTTCAAATAGACAACAAAGTCAAAGTGTGTTTGTGCAATTCATCATAATAGAAGCCATAATGGGCAAACAGCTGTCACAGTGAAACAATGCTTGAACGATTGCAAACAATACTTATGAATTTATTAAATAAATTATACTATATAGCCTTTGACTCATTATTTATTGATTAAACTATACCTAATACTTTTTAACAGTTATAGATATTATATTTGAATTTCACGCGGCATATGTAGTCATAAGTTAAATAAGTTAACAATAATATAAATTTGAGCAAAATAATTATTAAAAATTTTAAAAGAGAAACATATGAAATTTCCCTTCATAAAGAACAATAATTTTAATACCATAATACTAGTACTTGTTTTAAAAAATGCCCAGATTTAAAACACATTTAGAATAACAAATATTCTAAATTAAAAGTCACAGATTTTATTCTTCAGTGAAATTAAAGAAACTTCTTGTAAATATAAAATTAAGAACCGTTTCTTTTTTTAAGTTATAATATAGCATTAAATCCATTCTTAACCCTTCAACTATGAATTAAGGAACAAATATTTTTTATGTTGCTATATATTTTGAGAAATGTTTTACTGTCATACTATATTTATATTTAATTACACATAAGTGCAGATATTTTTCAGTATGTAGCAGATTCACAAACATATTCATCTGTGAATGAAACATAATGCATTTCTCTCACAAAATAAGCAATCTAATCATGAAAATAAAACTGGAAAAGATTAAAACTTTGACACAATATAAACAAAACCTAACAGTCTGCAACTGAGCAGATTAAAATTTTTTTGAATAAACAAAAGCAGTTTAAACAATAAAAATGCACTAGGCCCGGACAATTCAATTTTCCTAAATAAAAACAAACTGCTCGAGTCTTTATATGAAAGAACACAGCTTTAATTTTATCTTGATTCAAAAGTCTTGATGTAAAAGAAAGTTTCTTCCAAAATTTATAACCCTTATTTTCTAAGCAATCTAATTTCTAACTGAACACATAAGTTGAATCTCTGACATTAAAATACATAACCATTCAGCTTCTGAACTGATAAAAAGAAAAAATTCTAATCCAATCAGTGAGATTCTGAAGAAGAGAAGAGAAAGAGAGATCTATTCCAAACTGCAGGGGTAGTGGAATCCATAGAATCAGCAGTTCCTGCAAAGTATATGAAAAAAAGCGTAAGATTTTAAATCGAGAATATAATAAAGCATGAGGTTTTTTTTCTAAAGAATAAGAGAAGACGAAGAGTGTTGTATAAACAACAAAAATATAAACAGAAATAAATCAAACAAACTTAAGCTCAATAAATGCAAGCAAATTAAAAACTAAGAAAGATAAGATATTCAATGGATAGAATAAAAAATAATACTGATGCAGCAAATTAAAAACCAACCCTATTTGAGTTTATTTCACAATAACAGAAGATGAAGGAACCAGCTCAAATTGTTTAGAGAAAGATTTAGCAACAATGGAAAGTATTACAGCACTCATTTTCATTTTAAATAGTTTTATAACAAATAACTACTTTACTATGATGAAAAGATTATGATATTATATAATATTTATTATAGTTACAACATTTGAAGAACCTCTCTTATTCTTGAAATTTATTTTCTTCGAGATTCTGTAATGACACATTAAACTTCCATGTACTTGTTTGCTATTATATTTAAAAAAAATGTCCTGTTGTTTTTTTTTTTATTATCTAACTATTTTATGTTTTTTTACTCCAACTAGCAATATAGATTAAAATTTATAAATAAAATATCTAATCTAATACATTCCTATTTTTACACATATTACAAACTCTTTACAATGTTAGAGACTAGCTTTAGTGAAAATTTTTTTGATTGAAAGTTCAACTATTATTTTTAAACCTATTTTGTGTATTTAGTATGCAAACTATAAGCAATACTTCAACTGTTTAAAGTTTTACATTAATACTCTAAGCTAAAGTTGATTTGTTTTAAAAGTCAACATTACAAACAAGATCTTCAGATGACCCACAGATGTAGCTTCACTTTGTATTAATTTAGAGGCTGATAAAAAGGCTCAACTTCACAGGTTTCATTGTACCATATTATTTTCATTTACCGTCTTGCATCAGCATATAGCTTTATTCTACTTTAGAACTGTTATGTAAATGTAAAGCAATGATATGTAAATGTAAAACACAGTTTTCTACAGCAGGTAACTGTAACAATCTAACTACCAGATACGTTTCTAAAATAATGCAAGAAAACTACCCTTTTCTTAGATACATGATTGGACTACCTATTTTTGAATTTAAAATACCATTTTATCAAGACAAACAAAGTGTAAGGTTGTACTTACAGTTTTTGGGAGCAGCAGCACTTGACTTGTTAATCACTTCCACATAATTTGAAGGAAACAGTCCTACAGCACCATTTAAATCCCCTTTCCACCAAGAGGGGTCATCAGTATTTACTAAAGTTATGATATCTCCCTTTTGAAATGTCAGTTCATCACCGTGTTGTCCAGAAAAGGGATATAAAGCCACCACTTGATCTATGTACCATAAAATTAAAACTTAGATAGAAATTAACATAAAACTTTCAGTAAATAAAATTTTTTTAAAAAAAGGAAGGTAATTAAGTATTTCAAAAAATTAAAATTATTTTTACGCCAAGTTTATTTACTTTATTTATTAAGATGGTATTTTAGTTTCAAACAATTTATTACTAATTTACATACTGTGTTACATATCTAATTTCAATAGATGTAAATTATATTATAGCAACATATGTATATCATTATTAATATTTTTCAATAAAATGTTTCACGTTTACAGTACATTTTAAAATCATGTTCATTGAATTTTGGCATCAAAATATTTAATATAAACATTGAAAGACTGCTTTCAAAACTTAAATAAAGACAAGTAAAATAAAACTGCTTGACTAATATAATAAAATTCAACGAGACAAAAATTTTGAAAGCTGAAGATTAAAGCAGCAAACCTGATTGTTGGGGTCCTCCATTGGATAGATTATCATTAAATCGTGAATATAGCATAGATTCAGGTGTAGTTCTGTTGCTGCTGGCACGACTCCCACTCAGTTCTTTGACATATGAAGCAGGGAACCAACCAACTTGTCTCTTTTTCCCTTTAACCTAATTAAAATAGATTTAAACATAACAAACAGCTTTGAATATCAGTATTACTTTTTAACATTACCAAATGGATCATTTAGTTAGTTAAAATTTGTATATTTAAAATTCGATTTCTCAGGTAACTATTAAATTGATTTTGTTCAAATTTTGTATTTCGCTATATAAAATTATAATCTTTAAAATGTTGAAATTTGGATACCTTACAATTTAAATTTTTTTCAACTGCTAAAAAAATAAGAAGAAATCTATAATTATTAAGCATTTTTTCATGGAATTATCCTTAGGTAGATGAATTTAACAATTCCGTGCAAAAATGCTTCGATTCCATAAATTTTTTTGGGGATAATGGCAAAATATGCATGAAGTAGGTTGTTGCAATGAATAATATTGTATAAAAAATATCAGACTTAAAAACTATGGAAAAGTCAAACGCAATAACTGCCAAAAATTTGATTTAATTCTTGCTTTAAAATGTAAATACTCAAATGCACAATTCGAATTCCCCATATTGTTTGAAATACAACGGAATATTTAAAAACCACATGAAAATTAATAGCATCAGTAAACTGCCGAAAATACAATCGAAACATTACATCAGTTTACGATACTATCAGAGTAAATTGAGCTCGTCAAAAAGTTATTATCTAATTGTTAAAATATTACGTGTAAATTTCTGCAGTAAAGAAAGGTAAAAATGTATACTTTTCAAAAGAAAAATCTTCCAGCAAGCACTTTGTAACGTTCGGCGACAATGTTGCCGTGACGCTGCGATTCTGCCACAGGGTTCAGGGTGTTCCATTTTTTATTTTGTACACTGTACAACCTCTTATTAAAAAATTTTGATTATTAAAATTATTTAATCCCACCTCACATTACTATCAGTAATAATATTTAGGAACAGATTCAGAAGATGATGAATTCTTGAAACTTCCCTTAAAGTAACCATGTTTAGACATAACTTTAGGTAATAAATTTATTTAGCTTTACCTAAACCATTCATGTTTTTTTTTAATTATTTACTTAAATAACAAATTTTACCAATAAATATTAAATAAACACAAACTGAACTATTTATCAAACTAAAGGTATAAAAAAATTATCAATAAATATTCAACAGAAGTATTATATTGTAAGCAGAATAAATGAATAAAAAATAGTATACCTAACAGAATGATTTTATGTTAGGCAGAATAATTATAGTTAGAATTCAGATTTTAATCTAATTGATGTAAATAAATAAATTATTTAGAATAATGTGGGAATAAACTAGTTAATTTTTAAAGATAAGAAAACATAAAATAAAACTTATTTACCTGCACTTCTCCTTCCCACCAACCACCAGATGTTTTCTTCCTAACTTGAATTAATTGACCTTTTTCTAGAGATAATTGTTCAGGGCCTGTTGCTTTGTATGGGGCTAAAACAGTGACAATTTCACCTCTCTTGTATTTACCACCCTAAAAATATCATAATTTCACATTTACTTACAAGAACAAAAATTTATTATAGAATCAAAAGAAAAACTAAACAGTACTTTCCAGATAAATAAATACACAATAGGAGATGATATTGAACTATTTTTTGTTGAAGAATGCTTTAATAAGTTTTATTATATATATATAGATATATATATATATATAAAATTATTGCCATCTACAAAGAAATGTTAAAGAAAATAATGTTATTTTTGTGAACAAAAATTTTAATTTTTTAAACAAAATATTTAAAGTTTAATTTTTGCTTTACACTCAGTCAATGTTGTTAAATATGTTAATAAACTAAAATTATTTAAAGGAAAAATTTTAGTTGAATGATTCTAAAGAAATTTTACTTTTGCAATTTATTTATTAAATAATTTATTACAAAAAAATAAAAATCAGTGCAGGTCATAGTAAAAAAAGTAAGTAACTAAAACTTTTTAAAAAGTGATAAATAGTGACTTAATTAAAAACAGTGTTAATATTCAGGCACCATCCTAATAACCTTAAAAATATACAACTGAAGTGGAAAAAAATTGGTTTAGTAACATTTACTGTTGTAGGTGCTTATTGCTTTAATTTACTGCTATGGAATTTTTTTTTTTAAAAAATTACATAATAAATATTTTTTAATTTTTCCCAACTAAAAAAAAGTTGCATGTTTAAACTTTAGCTACTATGGCTTAATGCAGCGTTTCCCAAAGGGTGGTACGCGTACCCCCCGGTAGTGGAACAGTTTAGCTGGGGTATGCGTTCTTATGCAAAATATCTTGCAAAAAACAAAAATTTCAAAAATTTTTCTTTAAAAACAAAGCTATTCATGAAAATTTACAATTACATATTTTTCTATTGGCTATTTTTTGCAGAGTTAGTGGTGTCAATAGCCAGTTGTGATTTTTAACTTTCGTGCAATTTTTTATAGTAAAAAATACATTCATTTTTTATTAATGGTACACAGCATTACGAAAAATTTAGAAGGGGTACACAAAACTCATAAGTTTGGGAAATACTGGCTTAAAGTATTATATTAAAGAAGCAGTGAAAGTATACAACAAAAATATTGTCGCTATCATGTAAAGTCAATGCACGATTATTGAGATGTGCTTCTCTTCAGGAGTCAAAAAACAATGTGTTTTTAAATATGATGTGAAGAACTGAAAAAACGTTAAATAACTATCACTGCAAAAAAATAATAATATCGTATTGAAAGTATTTAAATTGGAAATATGTGAGAAACTGAACACGTGATCATTGTCCTAAAGGAGTTTAATTTGAAATATGCATATGTAATAACATTGTATAAAAAATATAAATCGTTGAAAAAACGCTCAGAGAAAAAAAAGTGGAATTGTGATAGAACCAAGCACATTGAAAGTGATTTTTGAACAAATCATTAACAAATTGTCGTTACTGAAACCTGAAATTCGAGAGTCGCTACAACATCGCATTAATCAAAAATATAACATCATATTAATTTGAATGAATGTAAAAACTTTTAGAAAACAACATTAACTTACAACGTAATCATCCTGAATAAAGTGTGCAACAAAAAATTAACTTTAAGGTGAAAAAGTGAAGTAGTAAAATAACATCGTATTAAAAAACCACGAGGAAAGAGCTGAAAAAATTATAAAAATTTGTATGAGTGCCTAAGGTAAACACTGGAAATAAAACTATAAGAATTCACGACGAAATCAAATACGTCCAACAACGATTTTCGAATAAATCATTAAGAAATAGTTGTCACTGAAGTACATGTAACTTAATAAACATCATATTAATCAAAATATGGACATTTAAAAAACCATGTGAAAAAAAATGAGTGGAACTTCGTTAATCATTTGACTGATAAAACGATTATAAAACCAAGTTAATTTATAGTGAATCAATTTGAAATTTTCTGATTTAAAGTTCATGTGTCATAACATTGTATAAAAAACAGCAAAATTTAAAAAACCCCATAGAAAGGACTGAAAAAATTCTTAATAACTAATGACCTCTATAGTAATAATAAAAAACAAACAAACATCCAACAGTGTGAAATTACGTGTCAAAAAGAGATAACTCAAATTTGCATGGCATAATAACATCTTTTTAGAAAAGAGAAAAAAATAATAAAATATATAATATGAAAGTAAACATTTTATTTACGTTTTTTCTTATGAAGAAAAAGTAAGAACTTTTAAGTACTTTAAACCTAAAATAAGAACTTTTAAAGAGTGCTTAATTTCCATGATGCAAAATTATGCTCTATTAATCACATTTAAGGTACATGTGAACCATACAGAAAAAGGAAATTCAATTCAGGGAGAAATACACAAAATTTCATGCTCTGCAGCAGATAAGAAAATGAAAATTAAGATAGATGACGAATAAACTCATTCCTTGGTACAGTGAATGGCTCTCTAGCATTTCAAGAGGAATTCCTTTGAAAGTGGAAATTATCTATTTTTCCACACATATTCAATCCTCTTCTAAGCCCTACCCTTCTTTACTAAAGCAAGAGGATTGTAATATCATGGGTTTAGGGAAATGAAAAATCCTTCTTTCGATTGAAATGGGGGGAAAATTGTGAAATTAAAATTTAAAAAAAGTGAGATAAGTGACTAAGGTTTAAAAACAGTGAATAAAAGTTACTATTTTTTAAGATTATTATAAAAGAATACACATAGAGAGTTATTTAAAATGAACATAATATTTTAATTACAATCCATACATTAGGATAAAAACACATTACATTACCCTCATTCTAGGGCTATACACAGACATATCATACTGCCAGCATGAAAAGATAAACATTTATTAGAAAAGACACATTTCAATGAATTAAAATGTTTAAAAAAATGGTAACTTCATCTCTAAGTGTAAAGTTAATATTTTTACAATTATGATTATTATTAAATGAAGGCCTTATTAGAAAATTAGGTCAACTCTCTTTATAAAAAAATTGTATGAGTTTCAGTTTTATGTTTTTTTGTAAACATTTTTGTTTTATTTTAAAATTAGTACACATTCTCTAGTACTTTTAGATTTTAAGGTTCTTTAGCACAAAATGAAGAAAAATGGAGTTTGCCCACTCTTCAGAATAGGGCAAAAATATACATAAAAGCTATTTAATTTTTTACCCTGAATAACTTTTGACCTAATGATCGGATCTTCACATTCTAGGACTCATACTTAATGGCTCAAAGAGGTGACCTCAAATATGCTAGTTAATTAGTGGAGACGATATTTTGAGCTACAAAAACGTTCTTTCTCTGAAAAAACAATACCATTTTTTTGACGAATTCTGATTTCTGGCCCCTAAAATATAGGGGGTAGACGAAGTCTGGGAAATATGGTCCCAGTAATTTGGTCAGGAGAGCGCTCCAAAGTTTGGAAACTTTATTGCTAATTTCACTTTTGTGTATTTCACTATATCCAGAGATGCCAACTTGATCCAGACAGCGAATAAATATTTTCGAGTGGTAGCCTTACGATGTACGATTGATTCTTGGTTTAAAAATTCAATTTATAAGGTTTTTACTCAACACTACTTTTAAATAATTCGAAGGCTTATGTGATATACCACTTTGTTACAGTAAAGCCATATTGAGCATTTAAAAAAGTTTTCAAAATTTAGCGATAATCTGCAAAGTTTAGTGTGTAGTTCTTTAGGACTTTTTAAAATAATTTGTCGCATCCGGAGCAGGTGACATCTCTGCATAGCTCGAGAATTTTTGAAGTAAAATGAAAAGCTTTTGCACTCAATAATAAAATTCGCTTATCCAAAGATAATTCTATGCAAAAAACAATTTTTAGTAAATATTCATTATTTTTTATTACTTTATTAATAATGGTTAAAAAAATTATCAATTGCAAGGGATAAAAATTTTTGCATCATTTAATTGTGTGTAAGAATTTTTGAATTTGCTTCAAATGTTCTCAATATTTAACAAATTATGCAGTAAGTAAAATTAACATTAAGGGGTCCAAATTTTGGATCCCTTAACCAAACTCTGGGGTCCATATTTCCCAGATTTCGACTATCCCCTATATTTTGGGGGTCAGAAATACCAATCCGTGGAAAAACAGATATGTTTATTCAGAGAGAGAGTACTTTTTTGCGCCAGATTTCATAGTTTAAAATACCGTCAGCACTAATTAATTAGCATATTTGAGGTCACTCACTCAAATCATTAAAAAGGAGTCCTAGATCGTGATAATCTGATCATTAAATCGAAAGTTATTCAGGTTCTTTTTTTTCCTGGAGCACTGTACATTATCTGTGCTCAACTTCAGTGTGGGCAAAATATAATTCAGAAAAAAAGGATTTTTTTTTTATTACTAAATATAGGATTAGACTGAGTTTTCAAACCAACATTGTACTGTGATATAAAATCTACAAATTAAATTTTGCATTGCATAGATTGAAATATGATTTTGCTAGAAAACACTAAAAATTATCAAAAGAATTGTATATTGGAAAATCTGCTAGAAATTTATTGGACATCAGGGGTAATTGTGGGTCCAACTTAAAAATCCTGAAAATTTCTTAAGTAAAATCTTTAAAAAATTAATATCTTTATAAATTTAAATTATTGAAATTTTCAAAACATGATATTCAAAATGATTCAAATGAATGCAGCATAATTCAAATGAATAATTATTTGTAAGTTTACTTCTATCTCTAATCACATTTATTATTCTTCCAGAAAAAATATTTACGAATGAAAGAGATGCCAAGTATAAATTTTATTTCTTATATTTCTAAATAAAATATACAAGAATTTTTATATATAGTAATTGAAACTTCTGGACTATGGATTTCTGGAAACTTTCAGATGGTTAGCGAAAAATCCGGATTTTTTCCGGAGCACAATCACCCCTGCAGTTACACAAAACAGGAAATTAAACAATGTGTAAAATAAATTTAAAGAGTTATAACAACAACTATGTATTTTGGTAAACTTCATGAACATTATTGATCATATTTAATATATTCAATGTAGAAAAAAATTTTTCCTGTGTCACTGTAAATATAGTCTGTTTTAGATTATCTTAATTTTCCAGGAAACTCTCTCCGGTGATTTACTGTCATAATAAGGCTGTATTTATAAGATATTAACATTTATAGTGCTAATTTACAAGCATATCTATTTTGTAATATACATAATATATATGAATTAAAATAATTTATAAACAAGGAATTATTTATAACACTAATTATCCTTGCAATTATGCTTAAAATTTGTAACCTAATTATTAGTTTAACAAACTGTAATTTATAATATAATAATATTATATAAGTTTATTTTCATCCTTAAATATAAATTTCAATTTTTTTAATATTGCATAAATTGATATAACTGTACCAGAGTTAAAACCATGAGCATATTTACTCTGAATTTTGCAAGTTATTTAGTCACTTTTCAACTGATAACAATTAGAAAATCTGATTTTACAATAGCAGCAATAAAGTTCAGAACTAATACTCAGGAGATTAAGATAATAAAACTTACATTAAATTTCTTTTAAATGTATATTTTTGTTTATTTGAAATTCAGGTAATAGAAATTCTTTTTGTTTCTTCTCCATTTCAATACAAAAGTTTTGACTGTATTTTGTAAAATATTGAGGCCCATTATTAAAAGGAATAAAGAGAAGGAATTTTTTTTTTACTTCAATAGACATGGACTGGAAATTAAGATCTGTCTTTGTAACATCAGACTCAGTACTTGCAACACTTGAAGGCTATAAGTGAAATAGTATATAAAAAAGTAGTTCTTTCACAATTATTAAAATTAAACACTTTCTATTAAATCACTAAGTAGTATAAGTGGTGTTGAATAGTTAGTTATGCATTAAGTAAATATTTAGAATAAAAATATAAATTTAGTTATGAAGTAATAAAATGAATTACCTGTTCCTCTGCTTTTTTAACATAATTGCTGGGAAAAATACCAGTTCTGTTCCCAATGGTTCCTGTCCACCAGTCTCCTTCTTTCTTTGTAACTAAAACTGTTTCATTTACTTGGAAGCAAAGGTCACCTGGTTCCTGAGATTGGTAGGCATAAGTCGCAACATAATATTCAGGTATCCCTTCTGCAAATATTGTTAAGATTGTAAGAATATCAGCAATTGATATTTTTATAAGCATTTTCCTTTTTAATGGGTAGTTCTCAAAAGGTAGTAGTTTGGTAGTAATTTAATTCACAGTAAGACTTTTAGAAAAAATGTATCATATGTAATAAGAATTAACATATATTCTCACCCAAGTCTATAAATACCTTACAAAAATACTTTTCTAACCGAGAGTCAATGCAAAAAAAAATTTAAAAAAACTATTTCTGGAATTTACACATTAAAATAAGAACATAAAGTCTAAATTGGACAATTTCTTGATAATATACTTAACAAAAGGCAGCAATAGATAAGTTATAGATCCATTTGAACTATTTTTAGAAAAAGCAATTTAGTATTTCAATGCATGTATGCATGAAGAAAAAAAGAATCTACGTTTAATGCATGATAAAAAAAAGTAACCTACATTTAAAACCATAATTAAATTGTCAGAAGAGAGTGCAAATAACAATTTCAAACACACATACTTAAAATTGCCATACATATCTTAATAAATAAATAAAAAAAAATAAATACACAATGCTCTATTCGACTTTCAAATATGCAAACAATTTATTGAGATTTTAAGTGACAAAAAGTTTTAGCAACAGTTTTGAAATTATTACATGTCATGATAAAAATTGCCATAAGCCTTTGTGTTAACAATGAAGCCAAGAGATGTGTTAAGCTAAATTAGCAGCGGCAATTTGATATTTACAATATTCAGCGTGTTTTGTAACTAGCTTAATATATTAAAAATTTGTTTTAATAATTCGAACACAAATCTTAAAATTTAAGCAAAAAGGTACAAAAAAAAAAAAAAAAAAAAANAAAAAAAAAAAAAAAAAAAAAAAAAAAAAAAAAAAAAAAAAAACTAACTAGCATTTGATAATTTGTTATATAATTGTATTAAAAATTAAACAAGAATTAATTACAGTCCACAGATAATTTTGAAAATAATTCAAGTATGATTAGAGGCTTTACCTGGAGGAGATGTATTTACTTCAGGTGGTTCTTGCAAATCGGAATCAGCTGTACTATCTTGAAAGCTAAATTACATAAAGGAACAACTATAAAAATTTGAAATTATGCAAGCCACTAAAACTTAGAACTGAATTTTAAAATAAGTTATAAGAAATATTTAAGTAAGAGACAATTTGTTTTTTGAAAAAAAAAGAAAAGAAAAACCCTATTAATATTGTGTTTACTAAGATCTTGATATTATGATTTTGTTATGTTTTTATGAAATTGTTAAAAAAGTTAAAAAGGTTTAAGTCTTCTCTGAGAATGCTTTGAATTTTTTTAATTGTTTAGCAAAAAATATCTTATTGTGAATAGAAAATATCTGATGCTTTTCTACTAGTATTTTTATGATTTTTAAAGTTTAAGTAAATGTAAGAGGCCAATTATTTTCAGCAATATGTAGATAAAAATATCAAATGAATTCAGTTTAGGGTAAAAAAAATGTTTAAAATAAATTTAGAAATTTTGAAACAAAATGAGACAAAATTAAGCAATTTTTATTAATTTTGCATTTACTGTTAATGTGATACCCCAACAAAATTAAAACCGTTTAAAAATATCATATAAAATAACAATTAAAAATATCATATAAAAAATAACCTAACTTCTTATGGAATACTTTAAATCAAAACTACTATCATACAAATTGGATTTTAGAAACAGTACCATAAAATTATCCATAAGGAAAAACTTATAATTTAAACAAGGCTATTGAGATTAGTATGTCAAAGATAACTTGTAATAAATGAATAACATAAATATTCACATATTTTAGTATATAGATACAAAGCTAATAGAAGCCACATAAAAGAAGTTTGCAAAGAGAATTCTAGTCTAGAAATAACATGCCATTAATGTCTTGAAAAACTATTAGATTAGTTATAGATAAAGATATGTAAGATAGTTGATTAATTAATATTGACAATGGTAGAATAAGCACTATTTTGATTAGTTCAGTTCAGCATTTTGCTTTTAAGCAATAATGTAACAAGCCACATTAAATAACCTCAAAAGGCTGTTTCACTTTAATTACAAAATGCATATTATTTTTAAAACATTAACTTACTTATCATTAGCTTTCATAGGTCCTGAAACTAATTTAACATAAGATTTTGGAAACCAGCCGAGCTGAAAATTTGAAAAGAATTAGTCGTTAAAAATAATAATTTAAGTTTTCCTATAAAAATACTACTAATAAAATGACAAAAATCAAGTTTTTAAAATGCATCAATATTTTAGAGGGTTTTTCATAAATGATAATTCAATGGATTTGAATGAGAATGAGGACTATTTTCTATGGGTAGATCAGGATGAAGTAGAATCCACTGCAGAGTATGAAGAGTTTAGTGGAACAACAGGCTAAGTGACACCTCAGAGAATTTGAGTACATAAGTGCTAAAGTTTATATGTTCTTCCTTTTTGGTTCTCGTTCAATTTTTATGTTTTTAATATGCTTGTAAAGGCATAATTCATGAAATTTTTGGGAGTCTATTTATTTGATTCCAACTCTTTTATAAAGGAAGATTTTTCATGATTTTAGTGCGTAGCATTTGCTTGATTTTGTGGACGATTTTTAACGTTTTCCATCCAATATAATTTCGTTTTGAAAAGATAAAATAGATATACATACATTTAGGATTACATCCATAGAATAAAATTTCAGCAACCTTATTTTGGAACATGAACAAACAGGTATCAAATTTTGTATAGCCTTGTTAGTCTGAAAACCGATCAAACCCGATTCAGAGGCATCATGAGTTCTACTGCAGCGGAGTATATGTTTTGATTTTTAAAAAGCATTCTTTTAAATACATTGTGGTTAAAATGTTGTCATTTTGTTACATCTAAAAGTATTTATGAAATTAAATAAAAATATTTTTATTAGGTTCAATACAAAAAAAATATCTAAGTATAGTTGTTGAAATACAAATTATTTTAAATTTTTCCTGAGCACAAAGTTACCTGAGTTCAATCTTTCCAAAGTTACCTTAGCACAAAATAATATTTTCAACAAGACTTTGCTTAGAAAAAAAAATTAAATTTTTTACAAGCGTTGTTGAAACACAAACTAATGCAAACCAGAAACAAGATAATTGCATTTGAAGCTGTTTAAGGGTTGTTTTTTCTTGCATTTCTTAATCATTAATACATAAAAAAACATAAATTCCTCTTTAATGTGAGGAAACTGCTGTTTCAAGTTCTAATTTTCACCATTTTTTCTCTCCCTGTGCCTTAGCATTCGATGCTAAACAAGAGATTTTCTAGGATTGCTTATTGAATATTTGTCGCCAAGTCACCTAGTCGGTTCTTCCATTACATATTTTCAGTGTAGTTGTTAAAGATTCAAAATTGATTATATATAATATAATAAAAATAGTTTAAAAGGAGAAAATTAATTACTAGAGTAATTCATATTTATCTCATTGTTTATAATGTTTTGATATTTCAAGATTAACAAATTTCTGATTTTATCACTGGTGTATAACAACAAGATATGTGGTATATAATTTAACATAACTTTAAAATTATACTGTTAATATTATTTTCCTGAAACTAATAACTTTTTGTAACATAGAAACTAATAAGAGTAATATAATTCTTAAATTTTTCTCTTGGCTGTATTTCAGCTCTTTTAATCTACCATATTTATTTTATCTCAGCTTAACAAAGCGACTTTTAAAAACAGTTGCATTAAATAAAACTCACACTGCTACAGTTAAAAAAAAATTACATTTAAGCAATAGCAATGGTAAACAGAGGGAAAACTGTTGAAGAACTTGTGTGAGTCGCTTCATTTTGAGTTTTCTGTTTAAAACGTACAAGCGCAATTAAATAATCAAACTTATTATAAAATGTCTCCTCCCCCCCCCTCCAAATTTTTTTTCTTCCCTTCAATAATTTAAGAGTATATCAATGTTCTGAAGCAAAACTACATTATTAAATGCTTGTGTCACTAAATATTGTCGACTTTAATATAGTATTATTGTTGAGTTGGGCAAAAATGTATAAATGCTGTTATACATAATTAATAATTTCTGAATGTTTCACTATAAGTGGCAAATCATGGAGGTTAATAAGTTGCCTTGATTACATTGTATATTTTGACATTGAATACAAATTTATTGAAAATAATTCATTACTAATGTTGAAATAATTATTATTAAAAATGAATACAATTTTATAATTAAAATTGGCAATTAAACAATAAATGCTTAAATGTTAAAAGCAGTTTGAGTAAATTTTTTTTTTGCTGTACATCAATCAATCTATAAAATTGATCTATTTGACAGTCAATATTATTACAAAAATAAATAAAATCTAATTTGCCTTATGCCTATAGTATAAAAGGATAAATAAATTATTACAATTTCATAATTGTAATTGACAATTTAACAATAAATGCTTGAATGTTAAAAGTAGTTGATGCAAATTTTTCGTTTTGCTGTACATCAATCAATCTATTTGACAGATAATATTATAACATAGATAAATAAAATCAAATTTGCCTTACACTTTCTGTAGTTATTTATTAAATTTTTCTTATGTTTAAATATTAAGAATTTTATAGAGTTAACTGAACCAAAACAGAAAAATTTAAATAAAAAAGCTTACTTTGCCTTGAAATTCTCCATACCACCACATATCTTGTTGCTCTTTTACATTAATTATGTCCCCTTTGCTAAAACTTAAGTGGTTTTCTTTCTTAGCCTTCCAAGGGAATAAAGCTTGTGCTTGTAGAGCTTCTGATAAAGCATCCTCCTACAGAAAAATGACATTATTATAGAGGGCCTATGTTTCATCAATCACTGTATTTCTATACCAATGACCAATATTTTTTTCTTCTTTTTTCTAGAGAGAGAGAGAGAGAGGTTGCATACAAAGCTTCATACTTAAGTACTCTAATTCCGTAAATTGTTCCCTGCATTTAATATTTTAAAAGTAAAATTTCATAATTAGTCTTTTTTAATCTTTAAAAAAAACTGCATAATCAGTGATCCTTTTACTTTCTATTACATGAATTATAATTTTTCTAAAAATAAATATTAGTTGATTTATTTTCAATGCTGACTGTTAATTTACAATGCATAATCATCTGATAATTAACCCCTTAACTGCTGCGGGCGTATATATACGTCTCGGCCAGACAATGCGTTAACTGCCGCAGTCGTATATATACGCTTTCCCGAAGTACGATGCTTTACATTGCGCTGCTATAAATAGAACTACACCCCCTACTTCAGAATGCAGTAAAATGACCTTGAAAGTGTTTGCTTTGCGAATGTATTACTAATTTCGGAGGAGGGGGAATGGGAAAAGGATGTTATGGAAAAGTGATATCGTGTTAATCGCCTGCATGTCTCGATTTGAGAAAGGTAGGGTTTATTATTTTTTAACTTTCGTTTCCCGTGTGTATTTGGTGCTTTTTATTCTTTCCATCAACGTCTTCAAAGAAAAATGCATCGCGAAAATATGCCGTTTGTTCAAAAAAAAAAATTATTTCGTCGTGAATCCCGCTATCAGTGCAATGAATGTGATGTTGGTTTATGTGTCCAACCATGTTTCAGGATTTATCATACAACAGCTAAGTTTTAACATCGTTTATATTGTATTTTTATTATTTAATTTAAATTTTCTTTCTTTCCTTTTTCTTGTCCTGTAAAAGTAAACTGTTTTTGAATTGCAACGCATGCATCATTTCCCCCCACCTAAACACCACGTAAGAAAGTGCACTTGAGCGAAAAACGGTGGCACTGGAGAGTGAATCACGTAAATTTTACTTGGCAGTTAAGGGGTTAACAATATTATTTGATGTAAAAAAACTAGTCTTTCTCTTTAAAAAAGAAAGAAAAAGGATTAGCTTTTATTTTGGCAATTGCTTTGTACATCTCTATACATGGGATGATTATGACAAAAAATAATCTTTCTACTACTTAAGATCTCCATATCCAAAATAAGCAGATAATTTGTTTCCACTGTTTTACCCCATAATTATTTAGGTGTTTTATGCCATGTACAGATGTACCTCTTCCACATTCATTAAGTCAGCAATGCAGCTGCAGAATTTTTTTTATTATGACCAGAAGTTTCTATGAAAAGTGCAATACTTGGAAATGGAATTTTTGTAACTGAGAAAAATGGGTTTGCTCTTACAATAAATAATCTAATACCTTGAAAATTATTTAGAACATTCAATAATGTAAAAAAGAATCAAAAATGTAATAAAAAAAGACACATGGCATAGAATACTTCAGAAAGGAGTAGAAAAAAAAAAACAGGTTTGTGTGTAAAAAAAAAAATTCCTGTGGTTAGAACAGTGATGAACAAATACTTTGGTTATAAGATGCTAATTAAAGAGAGAAAAAAATTATGAATTATTTTTCTTTTATGATTTCAAAGAGTTATTTAGAATAAAAAAGAAGTACACTTAATTTTTTTTTATTATAGCTATTATTTATTTTGAGTAATTTCACTCTTAGTTTCAATGTATATACACTTTAAAAGGTTCTCTGACTACTGACAATTTTGATTTTTTGATAGGATAGGTTCCACGTAAAAGTTTTTTTACCTGAGATGGTAAAGATGGCACAGATTCTACAGATGATTTGGCAGGTTGAGTAAAAGAAGAATTTTCAGAATGTTGAAGAACATCACGGATTACATTAGATGGCTCCTCTGGCGCTTCTGATATGCCTCTAACAAATAAAACAGTTAAGGTATGAATTTAGATGTCGAAAAAATATAGATTACAGATCTATTATTTTAAAGTTTCTTAACTACTTTACTTAAGTTTTGTTTCATGATATCAACAAAGTTATTTTGAAAACTTTTTAATAAATATTGTCTATTAGCAAGCAAGCTTAAATAAACAAACAAAAATATTGAGTTACTTTGTTTGCTTTATATACAATAAGGACATTACAATCTTTCAATACTATTTAAAAGTCATAATATGAAGGGAAAATTCGCTATTTTTGTTAATAAGCAAGAATTTCTTACTTTTAAAGAATAAATAAGCCATTAGCTTAGATTATCACATATAAAAAGTATGTCACATAATAAAAAGCACTCCTAAGAGTGAAAATGAATAAAATATTTAGTTTTCAAAAATAGGTAAACATTTCAAAGTATTTGGTTTAATTAAAAATCAATGCATACACACAAAAAGATTAATTGAAATCAATGAAAGCAAAGATCTGAACCATTACGCGGAGTAAAAGAATATCGCCAGTGCAAAAAATTTTGCTAACAAAATCTTTGGTGACTGAGAATATTGTATGAATACTTCATCAACATATGCACATACAAATGAACATAGAAGTGTCTGTTTTTGGCATGCATAAATAAATACATCCTGTACCATAAATAAATACATTTTTCTGTAATTCTTATGTGTTATATACGAAAAATACACAAAATCGTAAAAGTAGTAGGAAAAATAGTTCATTATGCATTCTACAGACAAGTATATCTATAACAGACCAGACAAATAAAGAAAGGAGCGTACAGGCAAAAGTTTAACCAAACTTTACAGATAAATAGAGCAATTTTGAGCATCTTATTACATCCTTGTTTTTTTCTTGATGCATGTGTTAGATCAGATCTAAATATAAACTTTGATTGTTTAAACATAATTTTATTTTCTTGTTCTGAAATTCTTTGCTTTGTCTTTTAACAGATAGAGTAATTTATGAATGTACAAATTAATAAATATTTAAAGAAGTATAGAATTAGGTTGAGACTTTATTTTAGTAGATAGGGTCCTAAGGACCTGTAGTTTCCAAAGTCTAGCGGAATCACTATTTCTGTTATTATTGGATAATTAGAACATGAGGGATGTTTGGAGTAGTTTTTAGGGGATATTTAACCCCATTGAAGAACACAAAAGAATAAAAACAATTCTATTTACTCGAGGGTTCTTTTCATTTCAGTCCCAACAATATGTACTGTTTCAGTAGGAGCTCCTATTGTAGCAGCACTATTGGTGAAGGCAGTCTCATTAGTTAGAGTCTCCTGAGCAGGCTCAATACGCTCAGCGTATGCCTCAGGAAACCATCCTTTTTTCCCATGCAATTCTCCACCTAACCAACCAGGTTCTGAACTTTGACCTTCAGGGACCTAAAAATGTTTCGCAATTAACATAAATAATTCTGAATATAATTTACAAGCAAGAAAAATTGCAACAAAATGAACAAAGAAACAAACAGAAATAAATTAATTAGACATGCGATCTAATTGAAATAATAAAAAATATTGAAGTGATGTGGCTATAAACATGTTTTATTAAATTATGTGAATGACAATCTAAAAATAAAGTTTTAACAAAAAAATATAGACATTTACAAGTAAAAAAGAAATAGTAACGATGAGAGTAATTATTAGCTACTCATAACCTTTCTATTCAAAACCCTAAGCAGTTTTCAGTTGATCAAAGAAAAACAATGTTTCATTAACAATTATAAATAAGAAAAAAAAACAGGTTTTTAAATCATTATACATACAATCAATTTAAAATTTTGTTTTTAATGAAAAAGGATAATCAGTAATTCCAGATAGTCTTTTAATTAAACATAAAATGCTAGGGTTAGAAATTTTATTTCTAGCTTTATTTAATACTGTATTTCTTATTTATCTGTTTCTTTTGCCTTTCTGTCTTTATTTCTATGTCATCTTTCCACATTTTCTCAATAAAAAAACAACAAAAAAAACAAAGAATGCTTAGAATGCTCATAATAAAAACAAAGAATATGAGTGTGAAGATCAAACATGTTGCTTTAAATGTTAAATTTTCTTCATAAGAAAACAAATCTAAATATTTTTTTGTTTAATCTTCGAGGAGATCCCTTTATTTAATAACTTATTCAACTTCACAATCTTATTTACAAACAAATTATGAGATGTTTAAAAAGTAGCTGAAATGCTTTACAACCTCAAGTGTAGTAAAATGAATTATAGCTTAATGACTAGCAGACAATTCTGAATAAAAACCCCGTCTCAATGGAATGAGGAAAATATTTAATTTTATTACATTTCCATTTAGAAAACTAAAGATTTTATGTAATCATACAGTTCATCAAACATTTCAGACAAAAAGTTGAATAAATGTTAAAATTTATTAAGTACTATAATGTTTCTCCTTTCCACTTTCATCTAAGCCCAATTTCTTAAAAAAATTATTGTGCTCCTAGCGAGAATGAGTAATGATTCACTCATCAGTGATTTTTTACACTAAAACTCATCTTTTCAGATTAGATGAAAAACCTTTTTACTACTATTCCTTCCGTTTTTAGAGCAACATCAGAGAGTTTATATCGATAAATTTTTTTCCCTTCATTTTGAAAAGTAAGGGAAAATGGAACAATTGCAATACCTAGGACCTTGATAAAACTAAAATTAGCTCCATAGTAGGGTGAAGGAGAACCCATAGCCCTAATTTGCTATTTTCTTTATTTGTTTCTGGAAATTATTATTTTTTCCTTACAGAAATCCATTTCTTTTTATTTTTTGACAAATTAGTTTAAGGAAACGAAAAAAAAATATTATAGCTTCACTATACTAATTTTTGATGGTTAGAAAAAAAACCTCTTTAAACATATTGATAAAATTCTTAAGAACCATAATTTTTATTACTCAATCACATTAAGATCACAATCTTGACAATGAAATTTTAATAATTATGCATAAATTGCAATTGTTGCACTTCTGCAAAAGTGAAAAAGGATTATCAACGTCTACAGTGAAGATTAGGATAAAAGCTTGTTAATTAGAAGATGATGCTCTGGTACATGTTATAGGCTGACTACCCTAATAATTAAGGGTATAGTGAGTAAAAAAATTGCAGTCTTTGTTTTTTCCATGAACTTTATACACTGTTCAACAATACTATAGTGGGATACTCAGTCAATATTGAGTTTGCTTATGTAATAAATTATAAAACAATAATTCTCAAACCCAAAATAACAAATATTATAGTTCTATTCTATAAATTACATAAAATTTTTTACCAGTGAGATTATAATTTGGAGGTTAAATTTCTTTACATTTTATCTATTTCTGGCTATATATATTATTTTATAGTTTGGAATAAATGAATTAACACATTTGAAGTAAAGTATTTTTTAGAAATAAAATTGTTTGGAAAGATAAAAGGCAAATGATTTGGCTACTGGTTAAGCACAAAAAGGTAAATCTTTTATAACTAGTTGAAAATGCTAATGAATCAATAAAAAAATATGAAACTTACTTACAAAATGGATGAAGATAAAAAGCTGAGAAACTAATTCATAAAATGGTATCTTGAAGGAAATATTAACTAAATAGCAACATAGCCGATGCTCAACTTCAAACAATCGTGTCTTGTCAACAAGTAATGGTAAACAAAAAGTCATATTACATTGACAGACAAGTTTTGTTCCATTTCAATGCTATATGGAAATAATAATAGCGGGACCTAGAAGTCCCCTTGTGACATAAAGATTAAAAAATACCTGTCAAGAAACCATATTTTAACACAGAAAAGTTTTTCAAAAAATTAAATATATTCATTAGAGTGTGGTAATATTTTTCTTTTAAAATAAAACATACAAACTATTAAAAAATATGAACAAAATGAGTTTAAATATGTCAGGCTAATATTCAGTAATAATTTTTTGGTTGCTAGTAGCATTCTTAAGAGCAAAAAGTTTGCTATAATTTAAACAATAATTTTTTTAAGTGATAATAACATCATTTAAATAAAAGTAAATTAATTCAAAATTTATTGAAAACACAATATAATTTCAGATTACAATATGACAAGCAAAAATTCACAAACTCACTAAAACAATATCCCCTGGCATGACTGACAGCTCATCTGGATTTCTGGCATCAAAAGCATATAAGATTCTGTATTTTATGACGCCAGAAGATGAAACGGGTGATGTTTTGTTATCTGCTAGAATAAAACAATCTGGTGTTAGTTAAAATTATTTGAATACAATACCTTAAATTTGACAAATGAATGAATTTACAGTAGGATGCAACAAATGATATTGAAACTCATTCATTAATCCAAACTTTTACCAAAAAATAAAATAGTTTGAAAAAAGAATTTTTTTAAAAATATAACTATCTATTCTAAGGAGGGAAGATATTTTAAAAACTATAGTATATACAAATCCAAACAAGATATAGAAAAACAATGTAGTCTTAAAATTATTATTTTAATAGGGCGATTGAGGTTTTAATACAGTGATTGAGGTAACATAATGAATGCTTAAGATTGGTATTCAAAATAACAAAAACTATTATGCTGATATACTTTTTTTTCGTTATCTGAACAAGAAGTACAAAGGTAGTAAAAAATAAACAATTAAAAAAAACTCCCACTAAGTACAACTTTAATTCAGAATATTATCAATATTACATCAAGTTACTCATGATTTTCATGCTTATCACTATTTTTCAAATACTCAAAGATGTGCACTTTCAAAATTAAAAATAAAACAAAAATTTCATAATAAACTGCATAAATACTCTAAAAAAATAATAATTAATTCCAAATTTTTTCATTTATTAAATTGGTCACTATAACAGATTCAAACAGAACATTCGAGGCATTTTAAACTCTCAGGAAAGGTAAAACCATGAATACACTTAACAATTAAGTAAATATTATATATTAGATAACACATTTCATTCATTAAAGTCAGAAAATAGAGATAATTACCATCCCATCCTTCATTTGTAGCTGTTGTTCCCCACGAATCATCAAATCCTTTTAAAAATATATTTTTTTCATTAGATCAATTAATAAGATAAATTTAAAAGTAAGTTTGAAATAAATGAAAGTGACAAATCATAAGATTATTATATGTAGAGTACCAGTAAAAATTAAAAAAAAAAGCAAAACTAAATTATATAACTATTAGTCGCAAAGCTATTCTCTATTGTTCAAAAATACCTTGAAATGGTTTATAAATTCCGAGTGAATTTCCGGAAAAAAAATATTTAATCAAGTCTATGCGTATAAATAATTTTATAAAAAACAATTCGTATAAGTTGAGTCCATTAAAAATCTTTGGTTCAACATTAGTTTCTTAGCAATGAATTTAACACTCTCTTTACAGACTAAAGATGGAAAAAAAAGCTAGTGGGCGAGGATAAAATCAAATAAAATATATATATATATTTTTTTCTTCAAAAAAGGGGGCATTAAGTCTGTTTCTCATTCTGGCACCTAAGTTTTCGAATATGTGTTTTTTCTTCTTCTCTTTCTTCTTTGTGTGTTAAATTTAGATTACTTCATACATTTGAAAACAAGAATTTTAAGACTGTCAAAAAATTCACTGCATTTATAATTGATACCTGTTAAAATCTCAAAAAAATAAATAAATAAAAAATCCTGATGGATGTAGACAAAGGACTAAATTATAATGGAAGAGCCTCACTTTTATCTTGCAAATTGTTTTGCCTCATTACTCTAATTTGACACAAAAAAACACCTGCAGTTTTTTAACACTCTTTTGTTATATCTTTGAGTGTTTATGACTTGTGAAAACAATAAAAATGATCCACATATACACCAGAACAGTGGGTGCTGCAGATTGTTTTACATTTCAGATAAATAAAAAGGAAAAAAAGTGAGAGAGAAAATTTCTGATATTCTTTTAATAAAATATCTACAAATTTATTTCTAATCAAAATGATAAAGCTGATATATAAAGGGTAAACCAACCAGTGAAGGAACATTTCATATATATTGATTAAAAATAAAAATTTGAGAGTTTTTCTTTAGATTGATTGGTAACAATAGCTTACTGCCAAACAATAGGAAGTCATCTAGCAATGTTTTGGATTACCTGGCCAAATATACTTCTCTGGAAAATTTTTTGAATTTGTTATTATCTCTGCAACACCTTGATTCATTGAAAAAATTATAAGGTGAGTGTTTGTATTTATATGTTTGAAGTGGAATTAATTGCATGTAATAGTCTTATTTTTCTCACTGTGAAAAAGAGAATTCAAAATATAGTTATTGAAGTTACGTTT